ATGACTCTAAATTTTAATACAACTTTGAAGTTTGTCCCTTTTAATAATCGTTATCAACATACTGAAGAAAAGGGATAAAACACAGGGAGTTTCAGAAGAGGTCACAAGAAGCTTTTTGTTTTGCATTCTTTCCATTTAAGTGTATGATTCACTCTGGCATGTCTTTAATCTTTTGTATCCATGTCCTTTACAAACTGAAAAACTAAGGTCTCTTGAGTCTGTAACTTTTACTGACTCATCAGTTCCACATTTCCTTTCAGGACTTTGTCTGTCATCATCTTAGTGACTTTCGAAATTTAGCAATTTAAGAGATAGGACCAATGGAACAATCATTATTAGTGTCATCTTTGATTCTCTGAGTTTATTGTAACACTGGTTGACATTGTTAAATCAGTAAATATGTATTTTTTCACTCTGAATGAATTACTTTCCTCGTGAGATATCTGGAATATTTTAATGCTAAATATTCGTATTTTCTCTTAATATTTCCAAATTATTGTCCTACATTATATTCTAATGAAATTCAGATGGAAAGTTCTGAAATTGTATTATTCATTTACCCTTTAACTCAAATGATGAATAAACTATCCATTACAAGATTTTGGTTGTTGGATTATTTTTAGGGCACAGTGGTGAAACCAGGGGTACTCTATTGACTCAGGTACTTTATTTCATTGATTTAATGAAATTTGAAGAACGGGGTGTCTGATTCAAATTCTCTGTAACCCTCTGGGAGATGATAAAACTACATGTGACTAGACCCCAAGCATTGACTCTTCACTCCACCAAAGGCAATCCCCACCTCTTTCCTTCTAATCAATCAATATTATAAACCCAACAGAACAACAAAGTAGAATATCTTCCTTCTGTCTTCAATGATGCTGTGTTTGAATCCTCCCTGATCTCTTACCTGGAGACGTAGACTCACACTTACACTGTCTTCTATAGCTGATTGATTTTCCCATAGTATCTCAGATCTCTCTTGCTTTAATTTCTCTTGCTATATTCCTCTTAATACATTTTGGGAAATCTGTGTAGTATTGAAAGTATCTGCAAGATACTTTCTCCACTAAAATCCAGATGGAACTTTGTGGAATACTAACAAACCTTCCTCCAACATAAAATCTGCGCATATGGGCAACTTTAAAACTTGAGATGACAGCAAAGTGGTAAATCCCAGAATTTCAATCAATATTTATTTTTTAATCAGTAAAACTAGAAATGACTATTGGATGTCACAGTGCTAACGCATGGTAGCTTTTCTTTTTCACTAGAGGAAAAGCTAAGAGAGTTCAAAAAGATGATCATAGAAAGCAGGAAATTCAGACGGTTCTATCAGTCCTGTTTAATGAAGATGGTAAAACTGAGTAAGGGGAGAAATTAGTCAATCACCTTTCCTCCTTAAGTTTTGGAGAAGGGAAAATATATGCTGAGAATATTGAGCAAAAAGATTCTGTCAGATTTCTTAAGTGATGTAAAGATAACTGCTGATGGCAATTTGGGAAGGTTAAGTGCTCGAAGAGAATGGGACGTTTGGAAGATATGCACCAATTCTCCCCAGATGGTTTTTACAATCATGGTTTTTCCTGGTGACTCAGTGTCAACGTCAGCTTAGGAGTTTAATGGAACTGTAAATCCTTGTTTATAAAACAGTTATTGGAATGTGGTAATTGATGGGGCAAGTGACCTCCATTATCCTCTTCTTCATCAACAATCGTCATCATTACTGTCTGTCTGTGGGTTTCCCTTTTTTTCTCCCATGTTTTCTAAATTATTTTACATCACTAAAAATAAATCTTTCTTTTTAAATTAAAATAAAAGTTGGCTTGGGGTTATCACATCCATTGGTGCTCAGGGCTTTGCACTCAGGAATCACTATGTGTATGATTTGAGCTAATTTATTCAAGGAAAAGTAGATCTGCTTTGACTTTATTATTTCAGCAAAATAATTTATGTAAAATACAAACATATACACAAATAAATATTGTTTTGCTTAGATAATATAAATTTATTCCCTGACCTTCACCAGACTTCTTTTATGTTTTGTTTTGGGGTGACACTTAGCTGTGCTCAGGGCTTAGTCCTGGCTCTGTGCTCAAGGGTCACTCTTGGCAGGGCTCAGGAGACCACGTGGGGTTCCAGGGATTGAACCCAGGTTGGCTATGTGCAAAGCAAGTCACCCTACCCACTGAACTATTGCTTTGGCCCTCACAAGACTTCTTTCCTTAAGCTGCACTTGGCATTACTGCCACAGTTTGTTAGTGTCTTTAGAAGGCTTAGATGTTTTCTCGGTTGATTTCCTATGCCACACAATGGCTGCTAGTCAGTAGCTGAAGAAGCACTAGGTTTCACATCTCTTGATTTTCTCATCTAATCTCACCAAAAATGTCAGAGAGAGAGCACACGCCTCTTAATGCCTCCCAGGCCATTTTTTTCCAATTTTGTGAACCACTCTTCCTCTCTTGAACAACTACTTGATTTTTTAGGCAAAGAAATATTATAATGTAAAAAATGTTTTATTTCAGGGGGTATGGTACTGCCAGCAGGTCAGTCTGTACCTGTGATGGGAGAGCATCAGCAGCTTGATGGCATTATCAGACTTTCAGATACCCCAGAATTGCTGCTGTGCCTTTGGCCAGACCCCAAAAACTTGGGGCAAAGTTTACCAAGAAAGTAAACGGCCAAAAGTTAGGTATGTGGGACACACACCCACAAACCACCTCCAGCTCAGCTATATAACTGGAGGCATGGCCTCTCTGGTTCCTGATTGAACTGCTTAACGGACATGATCCCAAAGACTCAGAAATGAATCTCGGAACCCAAAGGCTTTTGGCAGAAATGAGTCCTGTTCTTGCAGTAGGTTACTGGCACTGGGCCACTCCAGGTGGGAATAGGTTTCATGCCTTAGCCTGTTCCCCCTGGCAGCCCGGTGACCGCCATCCTCCAGAGGCCACTGGACAGGTTTGGGCCTGCAATGAGACACACAGGACCTCACCAGATGAAGGTTGAACCGGCCCTTTCCTCCCCATCCCAACGAGACCCCGAGTCGCCGCCTACAAACAGCCTCTCCGGCTCCTGATCAAGCTGATTAATGGCCATGTTCCCAGAGACTCAGAAACAAATCACAAAACCCAGCGGCTTTTGGCAGAAATGCATCTGGACCGCATACAAGGTGGCCGCCACCTCAGAGCTTATTGGAAAGCCAGGTATGAGCCGGCGGTGACAGGGCAACTGCAGCCTCATGGGAAGGGGGATGGTATCAGCTCGTCCTTCACGCCCTACCGAGGTCATGAGTTGCCCCCCACTGGTGGCTCTCTGGCACAGCCATAACAGCAGATGCACAGAAACCGGTCTTGTAATTATCTGGCTCTTTGCAGAAATCCAAAATCATGTGGCTGCTATTGTGGCCGCACGACATTATATGATTCTCATAACCAGCTATAGAAAATAAAGTATTTCACAATGCCTTTTCAGCAATTCTGATTGTTGGGGGGGGGGGAATTCTAAACAATAATGGTGCATCTTTTGTCAAAATAACGAATGTAATCAATGTAGAGAAGAGTTAAGTAGAAATCTTCTGCCTCATAGGCATTGGGAGGGGTGGGAGGGGGGGTACATTGGGGTTCTTGGTGGTAAAAAATGAGTGCTGGTGAAGGGAAAGATGTTTGATCATTGTATGACTGAGACTTAAACCTGAAAACTTTGTAACTCTTCCCACTGTGATTCAATAAATAAATATAAGAAGAAAAATAAATAAATAAAATTATGGGGAAAAAAGTAAGATGAAGTTCATGCCCAATTCAATCAGCTAATCAGTGGCTGAATAAATAACAGTACTTCTACATAAAAAAAGAAAAAGAAATGTTTTATTTCCATGTCTTATCGCTTGTGTGGTCACTATAGTTCTGGTTGTCACCCAATATTTTCAACTAAGTGTATCAAAGCTCTATTTCAGTGACATATTCTTTTTTAAAAATTTTATTTAACAGGGCTGGAGCTATAGCACAGCGGTAGGGCATTTGCCTTGTGGAAGGCAGGCCTGGCCGAGCCAGGTTTGATTCCTCCGTCCCTCTCAGAGAGCCCTGCAAGCTACCAAGAGTATCTTGCCCGCACGGCAAAGCCTGGCAAACTACCTGTGGTGTATTCAAAATGCTAAACACAGTAACAACAAGTCTCACAATGTAGACATTAGTGGGCCTGCTCGAGCAAATCAGTGAAAAATGGGAGGACAGTGCAGTGCAGTGCTATTTTACAGTCATGATTCACAAAGTTACTGATAGTTGAGTTTTAGCATTCAATGATTCAACACCAATCCCTCCACCATTGCCAACTTCCCTCCACCATTGTTCCCAGATTCCCTCCCCACCCCAACCCCCACTCCACCTCCATCTGTGACCTTGACAGGCACATGACAAAGTTTCCGTGGTTGCAGCTTAGACCTCATGTTTTCAGTTTTGTTGAATCTGTGTTTTGAATATATGGCTATACCCCTCACTCATATCACTAATATAACTGAAGTTCTGATGTCTACAACATTACTTCTTGTTATTTCAGAGATATATTTTTAAAGCAAGGAGTTATTGGGTAAATATACTTACTCTTTCTGGACATACCATTTTTGTGTAAGTGCTTAAGTGGAGGTGAAGTTCTATACCCCTGACACCATTACTGTAGAATGAGGAGCTCTTCTAATATAGGAAGTGAGAAACCTGTGGTGAAGTGCATGTTTGAATGACGACATACCTAAAGGACTTGAATGACACCACGTACTCTCGAAAAAAATAGTTTTATTTAGAAGACAGATCGGTACTTGCTCTGAGGCAGTTCTGAGCATTTACTCCAATCCTAGTCCAAGCCAATCAGAAGGCACAGAATTCCAGACAGAATCAAACCTTCTTAGCTCTTTCTCCCATACTTGTCCATGGATATCGCTCTTGGTGAAAAAAAGACTGAGCAGCCACCCAGTCAATAGACTGCTCATACTATTTTTTGTTTTTCAGATGGGTGAGTCAAATGAAGACATCGACCAAATGTTCAGCAATTTGTTGGGAGAGATGGATCTTCTCACCCAGGTAAATAAATGTTCATTCTTTGCTTTCAAGTGACAAAACAAGGAATGATACGATTTGGTTTGAATATGACCAGAGAACTAGCTTTCTTTTCAAAAAAATCAGAGGTTGAAAATATTTAGACATTCCCGATGCAACAGTGACAGTGAAGAGGAAAATAAAGTGGTCCTGGGAGTGCTCGCTGAACACATTGGTCTCACACACACTCTCTTAATGGTGCTTCTCCTGCACATCATGTTCAAATATTTGACCAAGCAGGAATTTTTCCTAAGTGAATCCCCCCACAATCCCCACCACATGGAACCATTTCCCCTGCAGTAACCTTGATATAAAGACTAGCTTAATTACATTGGTATGACCTTCAATCAAGATTCTTTACCGGGGCTGGAGTAATAGCACAGCGGGTAGGACATTTGCCTTATACATAGCCGATCCGGGTTTGATTTCCAGCATCCCATATGGTCCCCTGAGCACCGCCAGGAGTAATTCCTGAGTGCAAAGCTAGGAGTAACCCCTGTGTGACTCAAAAAGGAAAAAAAAAGAGATTCTTTACCAACCTTTGAAGAAATGCTATATTCTGCAGGACTCAAATTTCTTGTGCCACCCTACTTGTGCATTGTAAGAACTAGTCTCCTCAAAGTAGCTTGAAAGCCACTCAGCTTTAGACAGTGGGCCACAGCAGAAGGCCTGGACACCAAGATCACACTAACTTATTCCAGTCACCAAGAGCCTCAAGTTGTTACTCAGCCCATAATCAGGTAACAAAGTCACGTGAGCCTCATTGCGCATTATGGAGTTTGCTTCACCATTGATTTAAAGCATAGTCTGCTCATCATTTCAGCCTGAAATATTAAAAAATTGTCTGATACACCTAAACAAGGCGGTAATTGGCAGATTTCTCTTTGTTTGGTGGGGGAGGCCACACCCAGCAGTGCTCAGGTTTTACTCCTGGCTCTCTGCTCTGGGATCACTCCTGGCCGGCTTGGGGGCCCATATAGAGTGCTGGGAATAGAACTCCCAGTAGACAATATGCAAGACAAACCCCCTACCCTCTGTACTGTCACTTTAGCCCCAAAATAATTAAACCTTTATTAAAACAAACAAACAAAAATCTGGAGTTAGTTACACGCAAGGTAGGCACTTTACCCACTGTACTATTTTCCCAGCCCTTGCCTTTTATTTTTCGGTTTTTCAGTTTTGCAGTCACACACAGCCATGTTTAGGACTTACTCTTGGCTCTGCGCTCAGGCATCACTCTTGGCAGACTCAAGGGATCAAACCCAGGTTGGCAGAGTGCAGAGCAAGTGCCCTATCCACTCTTCTATCACTCCAGCACAAATTTTCAAATTTTCAATAAAATAAATGAAGAAGAGTCCATTTTAAGCATTATTTCTTTTAGGAAAATCTATTTTAGTAGCAGCTACTTCTCTATAAAATTCAAGAAATTTTAACATCTTTGAAGACAAATTATAAAACTATGTGCTTTGTTAGAAAAGGTGCTGCTTCACAAGTATTAAGATAGTATTAAGATGTTAAGATAGGATATTCTAGGCAAGAGAACATTTCCTCCTCCCCTCAAGAGGGAGAATTTGAGAACATCTGTGGTCATTCCATCCATTTCTTTCCCTCTACTTCAGTAAGAGTGACATTCATCTCTCTTTTTTCTTTTTTGTTTGCTTTTATATTTGTTTTGAGCTTTTGAGTTTTTGTTCAGGGCTTACTTCTGACTGTGCTCAGGGATCACTTCTGGTGATCTACTACATGTGGTGCCTGGAATTGAACCCAGGACAGCACGTGCAAAGCATCTGCCTAGTCTACTGTGTTATCTCCTATCCTAGGAGTGACTCTTCTGTCTGGTCCACATGTGGCATTTTTATAAGACCACACCTGAGCATTATCACCCAAACTCAGAAGTAGAAAAGGGTCCATCAGAGTCTTGGACTTGCCATCATTCTCTTGATGCCCTTTTGGAAAACACCCAATGTGCAATGTATTGTAGCTGTAGAACTTGCCTGGCTCATACACTTCTCCCAAAAGTTAGGTCTCAAGATTTCAGGGTAAAGAAAAGTTCCACTTTGTCCTTGCATCTAAAGTCTGTTCTTCAATTCTGCCATTATCAACTGCACTCAGAGATGATTGTACACTTTCCAGTCATTAGAAAAGTAGGCATTTTGATCCCATTTATGAATCTTGTGCCTATTCTGGTCTTTGAAACTGGAGTGTGGTTGAGATGAGTAGATAAACCATAGGCATCCTCACTTCCCCTAAATAAGCAAAAATTAAAAGGAACTAAAAATATAATATAATTTTAACTTTAAATTTTGAAATAGCTTCAAGATTACAAAAATGTCAAAGTATTAAGATAAACAACTCCCATTAACTTCCTCCCAGATTTCTCCTTAGTTAACACATTACCATACTTATATTATCATTCTGTCTTTTTGTTTCCTATCTCCCTCTCTCTATATTCTGTGCCTTTTCCAGAGAATATATTGTATAAGCATATTCTCAGATATGCATAATCTTCACAGTATGCCACATACATGTATTTCCCAAAAACATGTAATGCTAGTTAAGTGATTAACAGATATTAAGAAAGTAAGAATTGACCCAGTAATACCACTCCTGGGAATATATCCCAGAGAGGCAAAAATGTATAGTCGAAGTGACATCTGCACTTGTTTGTTCATTGCAGCACTCTTTACAATAGCCAGAAACTGAAAGAAACCTGAGTGCCCAAGAACAGATGACTGGTTAAAGAAACTTTGGTACATCTACACAATGGAGTACTATGTAGCTGTTAGAAAAGATGAAGTCATGAAATTTACATACAAGTGGTACAACATGGAAAGTATCATGCTAAGCGAAATGAGTCAGAAAGAGAGAGATAGACATAGAAAGATTGCATTCATCTGGTGGATATAAAGTAACAAAATATGAGATTAATACCCAAGAATAGCTGAGTTCAGCACCAGGAGGATTACTCCATAGCTTAGAGGCCAGCCAGCTATTCCAAGGGAAAGGGCAGCTCAGATAGAGAAGGGAGCACCAAAAAAGGGTGTTTGAAGGCTCATCCCAGGAGGGGAGATGCATGTTGGGAGTAGACTATGGACTGAACATGTTTGCCACTCAACGCCTCTTTTGCAGACCACAACACCCAAAGGGAGAGAGAGAACAAAAGGGAATGCCCTGCCACAGAGGCAGGGTGGGATGGGGGGATTGGGGGTGGGAGGGATATTATCCATGGTGGTGGAAAATGGGCACTGGTGGAGGGATGGGTATTTGATCCTTGTATAATCGAAACCCAAGCACAAAAAATTGTGAATCTACAACTGTACCTCATGATGTTTCACTAATAAAAATTAAAAAAAAAATAGATAGATAATCATGGTTCAGTGGTAGAGTATAAGCCTTGCACGTGTGCGGCCCGAAGAGAGCATAATAAGATGATCTGAAGGATGGCCTGGAGTGAGCCCAGCCCCTGACCACTGCCAGGTTTGGTTCATTCAACAATGACTTCAAAAAATTGTTAAAGGCAGGGCCCAATGTTACACCCTTTATAAGAATTATGTTAAAATCAAATATATGAATTGATAAAAAATAGAATGGAGAATACTAAAACATCAGGAAGCTGATTTCAAGCATGAATTGAAGACAATATATCCTATAATATAAAATATAAGTTAAAATAAAGAATATTATTATAGATAGAGGAAATGAAATTATATGACAAGTTTATTAAGAATGCATGCTTAAAGCAAATTCTTTATAAAAATTGAGAAATACAGGACCAGAAAGATAGTACAGCAGGTAAGGTGCTTGCTTTGCATGCAGCCAACCTGGATTTGATTCCCAGCATCTATACGTTCCCCTAAGCACTGTCAGCAGTGATCTCTAAGCACAGAACCAAGAGCACTGAGTACAGCCAGATATAGCCCCAAACGAAACAAAAAACAAACAAAACCCCAAAGAAACAGAAAAGCAGATGAATCTTCCATCACTGAGAAATTATATTCTCCTTTTCCAGAAATCAATAGACTATCGGTAAGTCTGTGGAGCATTTGCTAATATTAATCACTCCATTGACCTAATTGAAGTTATAGAATAATAGGTTAAAATATATAATATGCATTATTTTAGGGCTGATACATAAAAACGAGTTTAAATATACCTCACAGTATATAAATGATAAAATAGAACTTGAGCCATAGCATGGAGCGAGTAGCACTGTAGCACTGTCCTTCTGTTGTTCATCGATTTGCTTGAGGGGGCCCAGTAACGTCTCCATTTTGAGACTTGCTGTTACTGCGTTTGTCAAGAAAAAAAAAGGATTAGATTAAAATATTTAAAGAAATTTATATTTTTATAAAAGAAGCATTCTAAACAAGTAATAATAAAGATAGTATTTAATAAATTATGTTTAATAACACATTTGAGAAACCACAAGCTGAATTTCTACTTCATATCTTACACTAAGATGAATTACCTGGATGAAAGATCTAAATGTATCTAATATGTATATAGAAGAAAACATGTAACAAATATTTATGTAATTTTAAGATTCGGGTAAAGGTAAAGGCCCTCCCGTTGATCGTCGATTTGCTCGAGCGGGCCCAGTAACGTCTCCATTGGAGACTTTGTTGTTACTGTGTCTGGCATATCGAATACTCTCAGTAGCTTGCCGGGCTCTCCGAGAGGGGCAGAGGAATCGAACTCGGGTCGGCCATGTTGGCCGCTTGTAAGGCGAACGCCCTACCCGCTGTGCTATCGCTCCAGGCCGGGGGGTAGCTTTCCTGAGCAAGATATGACACAAAATATAAGAGAAAAAGTGAAACATTAAAGTGCATAAAAAATTTTTGTTTCTATTGAGGCAAAATGTGAGTTTAGAAAGACTACAGTAATAAAATCAAACCATTTTTTTTGGCTTTTTGGGTCACAACCAGCAATGCTCAGGGGTTACTCTTGGTTCTGCACTCAGAAATCACTCAGGAATCATATGAGGGACCATATGGGATGCTGGAGATCAAACCCTGGTCGGCCACATGCAAGGCAAACGCCCTACAACTGCCCTATCACTCTGGCCCTCAAAAACAATTTTATTTTATTTTTTTCTTAAATTTTTATTAGTGAAACACCATGAGGTAGAGTCAAAAACAGTTTTATCAGTCACCATTGGAAATTGCCAGAGCAGTAACTTATTACTCTGAAAATTGATCAATAAGAGAAAAGAATAAAGCATTAATCTTAAGTCTTTCTACGACCTAGTAAAACTGTAGTCCAGGATAAGTAAATGATTGATGAGTGCTGTCTATAAAAGGATTTCTAATTAAATACTGGAAAGGAATGAAGAATTCCTAAATCAACATTATAAAACATGTAATAAAGTACATATTCAAGCACAGTTTTTGTTTTTTGTTTTTTGGGGTTTTTTTTGGGGGGGGGGGTCATACCTGGCAATGCACATGGGTTACTCCTGGCTCTACACTCCTGGCGGTAGCTCCAGGGACCATATGGGATGCTGGGAATCGAACCCAGGTTGGCTGCGTGCAAGGTAAATGCCCTCCCCGCTGTGCTATCGCTCAGCTCCCTCAAGCACAGTTTTAAGAAGCATAAAGCAGAGTTCTCAAACTTCACTCTGTTTTGCTTCACCTTCTTGGTTTAGGGGCACATTGGCACACCTGTAGAACACCTGTCAGGGTATTTTCTTAACATTTGTAATTAATTATTTAAAATCTTTAAAATCATCAGAAGCCAGAGTGATAGTGCAGCAGCTAGGGTGTTTTTGCCTTACATGAGCCAACCCAGGTTCAATCCCCGGCATCTCATATGGTCCCCCAAGCACTGCCAGGAGTAATTCCAGAGTGCAAAGCCAGGAGTAACTCCCAAGCATCTCTGGGTGTGACCTAAACCCCCTCCCCAATTTTTTTTTAAATTATCTCTCCCCAGAGCATCACCAGGGTGCCCAGGGTATTCCCCAGCATTGCAAGGCCCTAGTACTAAGCCCCATTGTCAGGCTACTTCCAGTCCCCTGTGAGGGAAGAAACACTGAGTGAAGCCGGGGACCTCCTCAGCCACGCTTGTGAGGCTTCTCCAGCCTGCCCTGCTCCTCCAAACATAAGCCATTTTTAACAGGTTAAATGTTCTAAGGTGATATTTATTGATTAGACATCCAGACAGACAAACAGTAATTTAAATGTTAGGTGTTTGTCTTTTCATATACCAGCTAAAATCATTTCCCTAGGCACAGAAACTATACAATAAAAGCTGTTACCTACCTCACTTCTTATTACCCTTGAATGGCTTTCCTATGATTAAGGATCCTCCTCCTTCAAATCAATTTTCTTTCTTTTCCCCTCTCTGCATTTTACTGGAAGCCTGTTTTGTCACAAGTTTATATATTGATATTTTGTTGGACATCTATTTTAAGTTTTTTTCACTTTTTATATTTAAATAATAAATCATATTATAGAGAAAAATGAATTGACTGCTTTAATTGTTTAGGAATTTTTAGTTATAGCATTAAAAAATTATCTCATTAAGTAAATTTCTTTGCAATGTTTTCACTAAATTTTTGCTCTGGTGTTGGTTCAGTAGTTAGCTAATCAGTCCCACCTTTTCTAGGCAGTTTTTCACACTTCTCCTGCCTTTGAGAATGAATTCCTGAACTGCAGTCACTTTTCCTTACATTTTGTCCTTGATTCTAACTTGGTTGAGTTAGTTATTGTCTACACTTTTGATTAATGCTCTTTTTTTTTCTTCTCAGAACTGGTTGCATTTTCAGTTTCCAAGCATATAATGCTTAGTTTATTTATTCATTTGCTTCAGAAATTTACAAAACAAATTTACCAAATCAAATTAACGTCGAAGCACTCAATATATTATAAAATATTTCAGAAGATAAAAATCACTTCACAAACTATAGATGAAACAACTATGAAATTTTAATTTATATATGCAAAATAAATTTTTGCTGCTTGAAAAAAGACTATTTGCAAAATTTGTATCTTGACCATAATTTCTTAATAGGAGCTTTAGAAAGAGGACACTACTGTATGACAGATAATTTCCTGAAAAAAGTTTTGTCTTCTAAGAACTAAATATTTCTTTTCGATGTTAAAACTTCAGTACTTTCAGAATTTTATATAGTTCATATGTCACAAAATCATCATTAAATACTGTTTCCTAAGTTTATAAAAATTATTTTATTCTTGGTTGACTTGTTTTATTTCAAGATGTACCATTTAGAAACCAATTCTTATTTAACTGAATTTTTGTATCTATTTCTGGAATAATTTTTAAGTTTTAATTTGTTTTGGGAAAAAACACATAAAAATTAATTGAAGAATACAGTTTTAAAAGAACATGAAAAATTTGTTAACAGTAAATGATTTGTAACTCAGTGATTAAGATGTCCTGCAAAAAGTGTTGGCATCCTGATTAATTTTTGTGATGGGCTCTGTCTTCACAGAGTTTAGGAGTCGACACCCTTCCTCCTCCGGACCCTAAACCCCCCAGAGCCGAATTCAGTTACAGTGTGGGTTTTAAGGACTTAAATGGTAAGTAAAATTTTCTTTTCCTGTGCTACTCAAAATCATAATGATGAATAAAATCAATATGGAACTATAGTTTGAAAGTAAAAATTCAGAAATTTGGATATCATGATAAGTATAATTTTGTTTGGCTGGGCTCTACACCCAGTGGTGCGTGGGGGGTGGGGGAGGTGGGCAGGGCTTACTCCCAGTTGGTGCTTTGGGTTTGCTCTCTGGCAGTGCTTATCAGCCCTTTGAATCAGCTCTCCAGCCTCTGAGAAGATTGATTTTTAAAGTCCAGAATTTTAGTGTATTATTGTCTGGATTGAATTGTGAGGCAAGGAAATAGTTCTGCCCACTGTCTTGAAATAGAACACTATCCTACATTTACGTAAAGTTTCAAAGTATCTTTTATTAATAGTAAGAAATTATTATTATTAATAAATATTTCTTAATTCTAAGCCTAGAGTAATAAAGTACTTTTGAAAAATAAGAAAAAATTTTTGATTCTATTTTATGAATGAATGCTTCCAAATTAATAGGTTTTGACTTAAAAAAAGGTAAAGGCCCTCCCATTGTTCATCGATTTGCTCGAGCGGACCCAGTAACGTCTCCATTGGAGATTTTGTTGTTACTGTGTTTGGCATATTGAATACATCACGGGTGGCTTGCCAGGCTCTGCCGTGTGGGCGAGATACTCTCAGTAGCTTGCCGGGCTCTCTGAGAGGGGCGGAGGAATCGAACTCGGGTCAGCCATGTTGGCTGCGTGCAAGGCAAATGCCTTACCGCTGTGCTATCGCTCCAGGTTTTGACTTAAATATAATTAATATAGAATGTTTTTGCTCTATTTGACATTCTTTATTCTCCCTGAAATCATTGTGTTATTTTACTAACAAAAATCTCTATTTGGTGCAGAGAACATCTCTAACCCATTTGCTACTATTTGCAATACTAGAGTGAATCTTGAAATAATCATTTCCAAATTAATGAGAATCAAAACGAGAACTCTCGAAAAAAATTTACAGAGACTTCTATAGCCTACCAAAGAAAATGAAACTAAAGAAACCCAGTTACAGAAATCCGGAATTTCAAGTTTTATCCCACTCCTGGGTTTCCCAATTCCTGTCACTTTTAGTATTCTTTGGACACTGAGTTAGTATGTGGAAAGCATTTTTTTAATTATTGTTGTTGTTGTTTTTATTTAATCACTGTGAAATAGACCCTTACAAAGAAGTTCATGATTAGGTTTGAGTCATACATTGTTCCAACACCCATCCCCCAAGTGTACATTTCCCAACACCAGTGTCCCCAGTTTCCCTCCCCTCCCTCCCTCCCCCAGCAGCCTCTGTTGGGTTGGCGCTTTTCTTCTCTATGTCTGGAAAACATTTCTTGAGATGACTATTAATGAGATATTGGTAGTATTTTGGTAGTATTTCGAGATTCAGTCTAGTGTTGCAAATAGTAGATATTTTAATTGAACTGATTAAGGCACTCAGATTTCATGAGTGTGCTGATGCAAATCTGCATTATTTGTACATGCAAATATATGTTGCCTATTTTCATGATTTTACAGAAGTAGCACTGTAGCACTGTCCTCCCGTTGTTCATCGATTTGCTTGCTCGAGCACCAGTAACTCTCCATTGTGAGACTTGTTACTATTTTTGGCATATCTAATTCATCTTGGGTAGTTTGGCAGGCTTTGCCCTGCGGGCGGGATACTCTCGCTAGCTTGCAGGGCTCTCTGAAAGGGACGGAGGAATTGAACCCCGGTCGACCACGTGCAAGGCAGAGTACATTGCTTTAATGAAACTTTGTGAATGTTATCTTCATTCAATGTCAGGATGGAAATAACAGAGAGGAATATTATATGGCAAGCAGAAAAAAAAGGTGAAGAAAAGAGAAAACAGGAAATGGTGTATTTATATTGAATACAGACATTGCACTTAATGGTTTATTTTTTAAATATTGAAAATTATAGAAACTAAGACTCAGCAATCTAGTAACATACTAAAAATATAGTACAGAAACTTTCTGTTGAAGTACAGTAACAAGAAAGTCATGTCATTAAGGAGACAAGACAGACAGGCATGGCATAGATAGGATCCAGCCATAAAAAAAAGTACTCAAGTGTGAGGCTGGAGTGATAGTACAGTAGGGAGGATGGTACCCCTGTTTTGATCCCCGGCACCCTATATGGTTCCCCAAGCACTGCCAGGAGGAATTTCTGAGCTCAGAGCCAGGACATTGAGCATCACCTGGTGTTATCCAAAAACTGAAAACCAAAACAAACCTAAAAATTATTTTAAAGTACTAATTTATACTGAAATTGAATTTGGGAGAAATTGGAGTGGTAATTTTACTAATATCCTTTAAAACCTACCAAGAGGAATGTGTATGATATTTACAAAGTCATTTACACAATGGCAGACTTCAGAAAGGAATTAATTTCTATCTTATTCCCTAATTTCATATTACCCAATTCCATACTAATACACTTAGGATTTTAGTTTGCTTTGAGATATGCAATTTTATCTCAAAAAATATTTATATAAGAATAAAATCTCGGGGCTGGAGCAATAGCACAGTGGGTAGGGCATTTGCCTTGCATGCGGCCAACCCAGGTTTGATTCCCAGCATCCCATATGGTCCCCTGAGCACCGCCAGGGGTAATTCCTGAGTGCAGAGTCAGGAGTAACCCCTGTGCATCGCCAGGTGTGACCCAAAAAGCACACACAAAAAAATTAAAATCTCCTGAATATGTGTTAAGAGTCACAGTTTGATAGTCTTAGAAAATTATGAAGGTTTTCTTTTACCTATATTTCCTTTGAAAATTTTTAAAACTTTATAACAAAAGTTACGTAAAAAATGACTCAGAAGAAAATAAAACCCTTCTTTCACAGACTATCCAAACTTTAACCCAACTTCTGTTCCCTAGATCTGTTTACTTTAGATGCTACATGGATTTTATGATGATGATGTTGTACAACAAATTATTTCATAGAGCTATATGCTTGTTACTAAATACGCTTCAATTTCACTGCTTCTGTTTCTTCATTCCAGTTCACCTTACACATAACAGCTAGAAGTCCTCTTCCTCCTGGATCACGTCCATCCTGCCCTTCCATCGCCCATTAAGTTCCACATTCACCAGGCCTAATTACAAAATCACCTACTAACCACTCATGACACCACTCCTCTGCCAGGCAGTCTCATCAACTTTCAGGATCACTCATCTCATCTCTGCACTGGCCACCCTGATGCTCACTCTGAAAATCCCATGGAAAGTTATCTCACAGATCATTGTCTTATAATAAAGTCTTTACTATTTAACTTCAATTTTTATATTTCATGCAATTTATGATAAGTAGCAGGAATCTTATCATAAACTGCATGAAATATGAAAATTCCTACTTTGGGGTGATATGTTTAGAGAAGCTTTGTTAGCACCCAAAGTCCCAAGACATTAAAACTCAATTGGTGGGGGCTGGAGTGATAGCACAGTGGGTAGGGCATTTGCCATGCACGTGGCCTACCCAGGTTTGATTCCCAGCATCCTATATGGTCCCCCGAGCACTGCCAAGAGTAATTCCTGAGTGCATAAGCCAGGAATCCTGTGCATCGCAGGGTGTGACCCAAAAAGAAAAAAAAATTCAATTGGTGGAGACCCACTTCCTTCCAGATCTCTGCCTCCAAAGGCCTGGGGAGAGAATTTTTCATTTATTTTCAGTCTCTTTCTCCCAAATGTCAAGGTCTTGCACAAACTATGCAAGATATCCAAAATGTCAAGGTCTTGCACAAAATATGCAAGAATTCCCTGCTTATATAGCAAACTGTGCATTTGGATTTGGCTTTATATTTAGTCGGAGGACCCCCAATATTTGGAATTCAGTTTTCTCTTTATGGAGCAGAGAAGTTTGGTTGGGGTGTTTATTTTGTTTTGTTTTGTTTCTCAATTTTATTGAGGTATATTTGATACATAAAATGTGAACTATTTGAAATATACATTGTGGTGATTTGATGTGTCTATACATGGTGAAAGAACTCTACCCATTAAGTTAATTAACACAGACATCTCAATGCACATTTCCCTTTTTTGTGTGTGAGAGAATATTTACATTCTACTTTCTTGGGGGAAAAAATTGAATTTTTCGGCACAGTGTTTTCAACAGTCACAGTATTATTTATTAGTTTCTCAGACCGTATTCATCTTCTAACTCTAAGTTTGTGCTTTTCACTGACATCTCCTTATTACCTCACCCTCCAGGTTTTGGCAGCCAGTACTCGAATACTACTGTTATAACAATCTTTGTGCAACTTTTCCATGCACAAAACCATTGTTTTGATCAACTAATGTGATTTTTCCCATCAGAGTCCTTAAATGCCTTGGAAGACCAAGATTTAGATGCTCTCATGGCAGAGCTGGTTGCAGACATAAGTGAAGCTGAGCAGAGGACAATCCAGGCACAGAAAGAGTCCACGCAGAGTCATTGTCATTCAGCATCTCTGGAGGTACCGAATTGCAGCGTGCCAGAGTCACTTAATTGTGAGGTGGATGTTGCTGCAGTTAGCATTAGCCAATTCGATGACCTGCCACCCCCACCAGCTGATCCTATATTAGACCTTCCTCTGCCGCCACCACCTCCTCAACCTCTCTCTCGGGTAAGTACAAAGGAGACAGAGATGGCGGGATTCAGGCCTGTTACTACCCCTCATCCTGACGTTCTTCATCTGTATCCATTCACCCAAAGATCTGAGATATGAGAACAAGGATAGAAAATATATGCACTGCAAAGCCAGAGTTTTCCATAAAAAAAGAAGATGCATTTGTGTGTATTAAAAAAATATAGCCAGGTCTTATTTGGTTATTATCATAGTTTGGCTTAAAAATGTTTACGTACATACCTCCCTTATAAAACTCAGCATTGGTGGAATGATTGTGTTTTATTATCTTGCTGTGAGCTGCAGCTGATTTATCTATGCTTTTGTCCCTAGTCTAAGCCTGGACTAGGAAGCATTTGATATATATTTTCAGAGTGGAGCTATGTGGAATTTTGAATTTGGCAGCTATATGTCACTTGCAATGTTGGGGAGAAATGTTATGGGGCAGACAAGTGATGACTGCTTGGAAGTCGTGTATCTCTAAAAACTGGAAGACAAGAAGTGGAAAAGTCCCTGTTATCATTCTTTGGGATGATAACCTGTGTTTCATAAAAGAAAAAAAGCAAATTTTATAGAACTTATCTTAAAATAAACCAGCCTAAAATATATATTTTAAAGTGAAGCTCCAGTTCCATTTTTTGTGGTTTCCCCACTTGTCATGATCACCAGTATTCATAAATATGATCCACTATACAATCCAAAGTTATTATAGTGCCCTTTAAATGTATAAGTATTTAATATAAATATTAAATATAATCACATTATACTGAAGCATAGCATATTGCTTGTGCATTTGTTTATAATAAATATTGAACTGTAGAACTGCCCTCCCATTGTTCATCGATTTGCTCGAGTGGGCACCAGTAACGCCTCCATTGTGAAACTTGTTACTGTTTCTGGCATATCAAATATGCCACGGGGAGCTTGCCAGGCTTTGCCATGCGGGCAGGATACTCTCGGTAGCTGCTGGGCTCTCTGAGAGGGAATGAGGAATCAAACCCGGGTCGGCCGCAGGCAAGGCAAACACCCTACCCGCTTGGCTAATAATAAACATTATTTGGAAAATAATAAAAATTATTTGGAAAATGGATGATTCATATAGAGCAGAAGATTTTTTCCCATATTTTTAGGATATACTAAGATACAAGGTATGCTATGATGATTTGACATAAGTACATTTTGCAAAATAATTACCACAATAAAGTTAATTAACAAACATCTCCATTACCTCACATAATTACATAAATGGTGAGAAAATTTTAAAGTTGCAAGAATATAGTACATATTTATTAGCTCTCACTGTTATGCTGTACCATAGGTTTCCAGAACTTGTCATCTAACTGGAGTTTGTTCTTCTCATGTGATTTTACCAATTTTTATTCTCCCCAGCATTGCATAACGGCTCCCTATACCCATGTCCTTGACCACACTTGTCATCACTTGTCTTTTTTATAATAACTGTGCTCTAAGCAGAGGCTTTCAGTACAAGGTCTGAGAAGATTTCAGTGAGGTTACAATTCCCAAAAAGTATGTGCAAAGTATGAGAATCCTTATGTGAAAAACTTTATGAGCTTCATCACTTTTAACATATTTCTAATGGGGTTTGATCTAATCGGTAGCTAGCCAGGCTCTCTGAGAGTGGTGGAGGAATCCAACTCCAGTCACCGTGTCGGCAAAGGCAAACGCCCTACATGCTGTGCTATGGATCTAAAAGAATGTATACTGATTCAGGAAGTGAGATCCAAATTAGATTCCTTAGGTTAGACCCTATTTTGATCAGGCAAAGGTTTGAGCAGTCTAAATACATGTTCTGTTAGAATCCTTTCAACCAAGTTACTAATCTAAGATCTAAAGGGTACTACTTATTATATCTTTGGGCCAAGATTATTGTTATTCTCATTGAAATTCTTCAAAGTGATGTAAACTTTTATACCTCTGAATTTCAACCTTTCATTTACACCAGGTATTGTTTCATGAATTGTTCCTATCTTGCTTTTTTACAGGAAGAAGAGGAAGCCCAAGCAAAGGCCGATAAAATAAAGCTTGCATTGGAAAAGCTGAAGGAAGCCAAAGTTAAGAAGGTAAACTGGAAAAACTATTTCCCTCTTGGCCTCTTTCCTCATCCTTATTTTCTCGCTTAATGATATTGTTCCCAGATGCTCAGGGCAAAGCTCTAGCATTTGCCCACCTGGCTGCCTGGCCCTGTGTGACACCACTCATAGTCCTTCTGGGTCTAAGACCTCCGGGGCAGTCCCCAACCTCTCTGGCTGAGAGGCCAGTGACCTCTGCTGCCCTCCTGAACTCAAGAGGGTGTTGAATGGATGGATCTCAAGTGGAAAGGAGATCAGAATAGGTCATACCAGGTCACTGACTTCACTTTTAGAGATTAAAAATAAAGAAGGGAAATGAAAAAAATTATATTTAGTGAAACCTTGGGCAGAAGAGACTCCCAAGCAGTGCTCAGGAGAGGAGGGGTTGGGAAAATTCTCACACAGTAGGGTCTATGTTTCAATGCAAGGGCCTGAAGATTCACCCAGGCTCCAGGATCTTACCCAGGTCACCTAGGACTGCTCAGGAGACTCCAGGGCTGCACCAAGCATTGCTCAAAGGCCATGTGGGCTGTATTTGGTGATGCCCCAGGGGACCATGTGGTGCTGGTGGTTGAACCTGGATCATCTGTCTGCAAGGGATGGACCTTAACCCCTGTATTCTTTCTCCACTCTTTCAAACTATTTGAAACCATTGGATTATAGCATAGCGAGTAGGGCGTTTGCCTTGCATGCAGCCAACATGGCAGACCTGAGTTTGATTCCTCCACCCCCTCAGAGAGCCTGACAAGCTACCGAGAGTATCTCGCCCACACGGCAAAGCCTGGCAAGCTCCCCGTGACGTATTCGATATGCCAAACACAGCAACAAGTCTCACAATGTTACTGAGCCTGCTCAAGCAAATCAATGAACAATGGGAGGACAGTGGCAGTGACAGTGGATTATTTATAAAGATAAGTGACACATGGGGCTGGAGAGATAGAACAGCAGATAAGGCTTTTGTCTTGCATGTGGTTGACCCAGGATCAATCTCCAGCATCCTGATGTGATCCTATGAGCCCCTCCAGGAGTGATCCATGCACATAGAGCCAAGAGTAAGCCCTGAGCAGCAGTGGAGGTGCCCCCTGAAAAAAGACCAGGGGGAGGAGAGGGAGTGGAAGGGAAATGAAAAGAGGCGTTCATTCTTAGAGTGAAGGGTCAAATGGCTTAGCTGATCCACTTTACTTACTTTTTTGTGGAAAGTAAGAGAACAGAGAGAAATTGGTAGTTTTTTACTGCTGCAGACCAGAAAGCAAGAGAATTATGCCCTAAAGTAGTTGGAAATGATCACTCTGGATAAGAACTGTGTGCTGAAAGTATGTAAAGGAACAAACATCTGTATTGCAAATCATAATGCCCCGAGAGAGAGAGAACCATAAAGAAAGAGAAAAGGAGAGAGAGGTGGGGGAGAGAGAGAGGGAGAATGGGGTGGGTTGCAGAAGGGAAACTTGGGACTTTGGTGGTAAGAAATATACACTGGTTGAGGGGCAGATGTTGGAACACTGTATGACTGAAACCCAACCATGATCAGCTTTGTAACTGTGTATCTAACAGTGGTGATTCAGTTAAAAAAAAAAAAATATATATATATATATATATATATATATATATATATATTGCTTTTTGGGTCACACTGGTGATGCTGAGGGGTTACTCCTGGATCTGCACTCAGGAATTATTCCTGGCAGTGCTCGGGGGACCATATGGGATGCTGGGAATCGAACCCGGGTTGGCCACGTGCAGGGAAAATGCCCTACCCACTGTGCTATCATTGCAGCCCTTCCAGATATATTTCTTTAAAATCTGTGACACATAGAACATTGAGAAATAATTTAGACACACACATGCATTCATTAAGTAATTCAAAAGAATTCACATATATTCTGAAACACAATTTTTAAAGGATGGAAATCAAGTGTGGTCAAGATGTGAGAAGGTTTTGGTTTGTTTTTTTCTCTTTATAACAAATAAAAGAAGAGGGGCCGTGGAGATCATAGAGCGGGGAAGGCATTTTCCGTATATGCAGCCAAGCCAGGCTTGACTCCCAGCACCACAATATGGTCCTTACACCAGGAGAGAGCACTGAGCACAGAGCCAGGAGGAAGTGGGTGTGGTCCCAAAGCCCAAAAACTACTTTAATGAATAAATTTAAAATATAAAAAGACACTAATTTTTAATTTTCAAAAAAATTCCTAAACAAGAGGATGGGAATGTGACTCACTAATAGGATTATGTCTTCCACGTGGAGGTTGTGGTACTGAAAAAAAAAAAAAAAGAATTTCTAAGCAGGAACAAAATGTGGTCAAACACCATTAATTTTTCTATTAGGAAAGAGTAAATCTCCTCCGCTATGACATTGGGAGGGTTTCTCTGGACATGTAGCTGTGTTATAGCTATAACTCAACAGAAGGCAGCAGGTATGCCTTCCATCAAAAATAAATCACAGTAAAGACCATCGTTTGAGGAATGACTGAGTTTCCATGCAGTGTTACAGGCCCCATTTCTCACACCATATGAGTGTGCCTTTGACACTGCGGTACTTGAATCTATCATTTAAAATCCATCAAAATGCAAACATAGAGGGTAAAAAAAAAACTGTTTCAATTGGGGGTTTGTGAGCTACATATTTTCAGAGGGGAAAGGTGTACTTTAGACCAGGATAGAGTAAAGATCTCACTTGGAAGTCCCAGAAGAAGGAAATGCGCTTTCATTGCCTTGGTGTTTTCATTCAGACACTGGTATGTGCCTAGCCATGCTTCACTAGTGACCCTTGCCTGCTCCTCGCCCAGATTTTTGTCACTGCTTTCTTGGGTAGCCATCATTAACTGCATCGCCATCCACAGGAACTACATTCTCCACTCTGCTAACCATAGAATGTTCTAAATCAGCTAAGGGAAGACTGGGGAGCTTAGAACTGAAGCCAAACTTTGGGAAAGAAAGAAATATTTGCAACTGCATGGCCTCTGTCTTTTTTTTCTTAATTTTTTTTTTAGTGAAACACCATGAGGTACAGTTATAGACTTATAAATTTTTGTGCTTGGGTTTCAGTTATACAGTGATCAAGTACCCATTCCTCCACCAGTGCCCATCCTCCACCACCACAGGTCCCAGCATCCCTCCCACCCCTCATCCCCCCCCCATCCCACCCTGCCTCTGTGGCAGGACATTCCCCCTTGTTCTCTCTCTCTTCTTTTGGGTACTGTGTTTTGCAAGAGAGGCATTGAGTGGCAATCATGTTTGGTCTATAGACTACTTTTAGCATGCTTCTCCCACCCTGGGAGGGTCCTCACAACACCCTTTATTTGGTGCTATCTTCTCTATCTGAGCTTCCTTTTCACCTAGCACGTGTGGGAGGCCTTCAAGTCATGGAGCAAAATTCCTGGTACTAATCTCAGCCATTCCTGGGTGTTAGTCTCCCGTTTTGTTGCTTTATGTTCCCCAGATGAATGCAATCTTTCTGTGTCTATCCCGCTCTTTCTGACTCATTTCACTTAACATGATACTTTCCATGTAGTACCACTTGTATGTAAATTTCATAACTTCATCTTTTCTAACAGCTACATAGTACTCCATTGTGTAAATGTACCAAAGTTTCTTTAACCAGTCATCTGTTCTCGGGCACTCAGGTTTTTTCCAGATTCTGGCTATTGTAAAGACTGCTGCAATGAAAAACAATTGCAGATGTCACTTCGACTACACCTTTTTGCCTCTCTGGGATATATTCCCAGGAGTGCTACTGCTGGATCAAATGGGAGCTCAATTTCTAATTTTTTGAGAATCGTCCATACTGTTTTCCAAAAGGGCTGAACCAGTCGGCATTCCCACCAACAGTGAAGGAGTGTCTCTTTCTCGCCACATCCGCGCCAGCACCGGTTGCTTTTGTTCTTGTGGATGTGGGCCAGTCTCTGTGGTGTGAAATGATATCTCATTGTGGTTTTGATCTGCATCTCTCTGATGATTAGTGATGTAGAGCATTTTCTCATGTGTGCATGGCCTCTGTCTTTCTCCAGGGCATTTAAGCAATTTCTATCTTGTTTTATTTTGGTCTGATTGGGCTTGGGAGCCACACTGGCAGTGCGAAGGGGGCAGCTCCTACATACAAAGCCTTCCTGGCTCCTCCTTCTGTCACTTTTCAAATAATAAATACGATTTTTGAATAGCCAGGATCAATCCTAGAGGAAAGAAACAGGCAGATCTTAACCTTGTGCTGCCCCACATTTCCCTTTTCAGGTGAGAATAGGCAGGTGAAAGGATAAGTAAGATGCTAGTAGGCCAAGTGGTTTCCACGAAGGCTCCGCAAGCTGGGAATGGTCTCACTTGGAAGTCCTAGAAGGAGGAAATGCGCGTTCACTGCCTTGGCGGTTTCATTCGGACTCTGGTATGTGCCTGGCCACGTTTCACCAGTGACTCTTGCAGGCTCCTCACCCAGATTTTTGTCATGGAATGGAGCAGGAGTTGCAGGTTTATACAGTGACTGTTAGAACAGAGAAAGCAAAATCTTGACCCCCATCCTTTATTTCTTACACTCAAAGAACATTGATGGACTCTAATGAAGGCAAATTGCCACAAAAGAAGGAGCCCATTTCTCACATCATATGAGTGAAGGTGGCGACAAAAATCTGGGCAGGGAGCCTGCAAGGATCACTAGTGAAGCATGGCCAGGCTCATACCTGAGTCTGAATGAAAACGTCAAGGCACGTTTCCTCCTTCTGGGACTTCCAAGTGAGACCTTTACTCTATCCTGGTGACCTTTACTCTATCCTGGTCTGAAGAACATCTTCCCCCCTGAAAATATGTAGCTCACAAACTCCCAATTCGAATGATTTTTTACGCTCTATGTTTTCATTTTGATGTATTTTAAATCATAGATGCAAGTACCACAGTGTCAGAGACACACTCACCTGATATGAGAAAAGGGACCTGGAGGAGGAGCAGAAGGCTTTGCGCACTTTGCGCATTTAGCACATCCCCTGCGTACTGCTGGCTGTGACTCCCAAACCTGATCACATCCAAACAAATCATGATAGAAAGTGCTCAAAGATGCTCCAGAGGAAGACGGAGATCATGCAAAATGCAAATTGCAAATATTTCTTTCTTTCCCAAAGTTCGGCTTTGTTTCTGATGGTGAATGAAATGAGACTGTGGGTCTTCTTGGAGGAACTTGTGGGAAATTTTTCCTTACACATAATATCTAACACATGGGGCATAGCGGGCCCCTTTCTCCCATTTGTTCTGAAGCCTGGATATATAGCACCATGAAACCTGGGGCTCCCTTAAACAACAATACTATAAAATATGTTGCAGTTACACAGATATGACAGAAAATCCAAACCCCTGAGAGTGACCAGGGCATAGCATAGTGGTAGAGTGCTTGCATCCATGAGACCCTGAGTTCGATCCCAGACACCAAAAAACAAAGAAACAAATCCTCTGGGCAGGGGGAGATATAGCTCAGCAAGGGCCCTGAATTTTGTCACCAGCACTGTATGGTTCCCTGAGCACTGAGCCAAGGGTAGCCCCCACCCCATAACTCCCCTCTACCCCTCCTACATAACTATACCGCCAGTTGTATCCCCAAAACCAAAAAAAATGAAGTCGGAGCCCAAGAGTACAGTGGGTAAGAAGCTAGTCTTGCCCACAGCCGACTCAGGTTCGATCCCCAACACTCCATATGGTTCCCTGAGCACTGCCAGGAGTGATTCCTGAGTGCATAAAGACAGGAGTAAGCCCTGAGCTCCACCAGGAGTGGCCCAAAAACAAACAAACAAACAAAAAGAACAGAAGTTTTTCAGACTCTTATCGCATGGCTTAAAAAATATATTCTCAAAATCATGGTCCCCATCAAGGATGAGGACATCTTTAACACACTATCTGGGAAAATTCAGTGAAACATGATGTACTTAATGAAGATTAATAAATTCTGCTCACCAAACATTCTGTGTTTGGGATGGGATTGTTAGCAGTTTGACTATGAACTTAATGCATCAAATTATTTGAAAAGTAGAATGAAAATGAAAATTAGATCACCACTGTTCCTGCATGCCTCTGTAACTGCTTATTTTTTTAGTCTACATTTATTTTCCTTAGCTCACTTACAATCTCAAACATTATTGCCATGACATAACCTCAGGGACAGGACAGGTCTACTCTAAGCCTTTAAAGAGTTGAGATGGTGGGGCTAGAGTGATAGCACAGAGGGTAGGGCGTTTGCCTTGCATGCGGCCGATCCGGGTTCGAATCCCAGCATCCCATATGGTCCCCTGAGCACCGCCAGGAGTAATTTCTGAGTGCAGAGCCAGGAGTAGCCCCTGAGCATCACTGGGTGTGACCCAAAAAGAAAAAAAAATTTAAATAAAAAATTAAAAACATAACAAAATATAGAATTGAGATGGTTACCTTAATCTCATCCATGTTTTACCACTCTTGGCTTGCTTAAAATGGGTCCCAACTCCAGCTAAGCATAGGAGTAGAATTCACTGTAATGATATGAGCCTGATTGGAGCCAGAGCGATAGTACAGCAGGTAGGATATTTGCCTTGCAAGCAGCTAATCTGGGTTCCATCCCTGGTATGCCATATGGTCCCCCGGGCCCGCTAGGAGTGATGACCGTGTGCAGAGCCAGAAGTAAGTCCTGAGCACTGCCATGTATGGCTCCTTCAAAATATACATGGATCTTACTTTTAGTTAAGCAATGTTTCGATAATAGTTGGAAATGGTTATTTTGGACAGAAACCGAGTGTTGAAAGTAGATAAAGGAATATACCTGATAACCTTTCATTATCTGCATTGCAAACCATAAGGCCCAAAAGAAGAGAGGGGTGGGTGGAGGGAGAGAGAGAGAGCGAGAGAGTGATAAAGTTGTCAAGAAAGCAGGAAGTCAGCATTTCTCTGGTTCTGTTTGTCTACTGTCTCCCCAATCAGAATACAAAGTCTCTGAAGCCAGGGAAAGGACTTTGTCTATTGTATTCTCCACCTCTGCAATCCCAACCCCTTCGACAAATGCTCAGATTCTGACTGAGTTCATATTGAGAAGTTGGAGTGGTGTATGTATTCTTACTTAAATTCACAGAAACGTCGAGCTGAAGCAATAGCACAGCGGGTAGGGCGTTAGCCTTGTACCCGGCTGACCCGGGTTCAATTCTCAGCATCCCATATAGTCCCCCGAGCACTGCCAGGGATAATTCCTGAGTGCATGATCCAGGAGTAACCCCTGTGCATCGCCAGATATGACCCAAAAAGAAAAAAAAATTCACAGAAACAGTGGCAGCTTTGGGCCCCAATTCTTCTGGGCCTTTTCTGGTTGTTGATATTTAATCGTCGATTTGCTCGAGCAGGCCCAGTAACGTCTCCATTGGAGACTTTGTTGTTACTGTGTCTGGCATATCGAATACTCTCGGTAGCTTGCCGGGCTCTCCGAGAGGGGTGGAGGAATCGAACTCGGGTCGGCCATGTTGGCCGCTTGTAAGGCGAACGCCCTACCCGCTGTGCTATCGCTCCAGCCCATAGCTTCTCTGTGGCTTTTTCTTCAGCTCGTGGTCAAGGTGCACATGAATGACAGCAGCACAAAGTCCCTTATGGTGGATGAACGGCAGTTGGCCCGGGATGTCCTAGACAACCTTTTTGAGAAAACGCATTGTGACTGCAATGTAGACTGGTGTCTTTATGAAATATATCCGGAACTGCAGATTGGTAAGTCCCAGCCCCAGCAAATAGGGTGGATTTGCATCTTTGTGGGCTTGAATTTATTCTGAAGAAACATTCGTTGCAAGCCTAAGCCTACCGAGACTTCCCTTATGTCCCATTTAATGCTGACCTCTTCGTTTCTTTGAGTTAGGGGTCTCAGATTACACCAGCTGGCTAAACTGGTGTACATGTTATTATTACTACCACTTCTCTGGTGGATCCATAAGAAAGACAGTGATAGACCACTGCTTCTTGCTGTGAGTTTGTGAGCTGAGCAAATACAGGAGGGACTGGGTATCAGTCAGCTAATATCTCTCTAGAATTTGCTTTTTTAAATTATCTTGGACTCTGCTTTGCCTCATAGAACTGTTCCTTTTGCCTTCCCCACATCCCACTTGTTTGGTTGAAGAGGTTTAGTTTCAAAGAGAAAGGAGCAGTTGGTAGAAATTGATGGAATAAAATAACAGTAATAATGATGGTATAAATACTCCGTTGCTTCTCATTCTTGATATCATTCACAGAACTAGGAGAATAGAGGAAAATACAGAATTGCCTGTTTCAGAAACTTTGAGTGAAATTGTATTTCTAGAGGAAATGGTCTACTCTAAAACAACTCCTTAAAGTGTTCTTCAACTCTTTGAGTCAAATAAAGGAAAACCTTTCTTTATATTTTGATTTGGTTGAGACATTTACACATTATCTTCAAAGTTAGGACTGATCTTTTCGGGTTCTTTTTGCATATTTCATAATTATGTTTCAGATTGTTTTAAAAAATCATTGCTTAATTATCTTACTGATGTTTACTTTTGTCTGGGACAATTTAAGGCCCCCAAATGCAAATACAATCAAAGTATTATGACAGTTTATTCTTATTCAATTGTAGGGTCTGCCATCCAAAATAAATTAAGTTGAAGACCTGAAATAAAGAATAAGCTTAATTAGAAATGTTTCATAAGCTATATAAGAGTTAGGGATTTCTCAAAGCCAGTGGGAGGTATAAAATTCCACAGTAGCACTGTCTTCCCATTATTCATCAATTTGCTTGAGTGGGCACCAGTAATGTCCCCATTATGAGACTTGTTACTGTTTTTGGCATACCAATTTCACCACAGGGAGCTTACCATGTTTAATTGGATACAATCTTATTTCTATCTTGAGATATCTCTCATACCTATCAAATGCTAACATCTTGGATATGAAAGAATGCTTTTGCTTGTTTCATCAGAAAGGTTTTTTGAAGACCATGAAAATGTTGTTGAAGTCCTATCAGACTGGACAAGAGACACAGAAAACAAAGTGTTGTTTTTGGAAAAAGAAGAAAAATATGCTGTATTTAAAAACCCCCAGGTAAGATAACTTGGTAATCTATGTAAAACATGGTTTTTTCTTAACACTGCTAATGTCATCATTCATTATATAATCAAATATCATTAAATAATCAAATATTCATTAAATAATCAAATATAGGCATTCCTTTCTAATAAACACAATCTAACTTCTTAGGCAAAATGTAAACTAAATCCTTGGGAGAATTCAGGAAGAAAAGAACTTATTTAGTTTCTTTGATTCAGAAGTCAAACCATCAGTTGACTAATCCTCCTAAGTTAAGCCAATTAATTCATTAATCGTTGAGGAATTGATAAGTGCCTTTATGTATTGTTCTATTAAATATACTCTAATATTTGTTCTTCATGTTGCTTCTTGATGTAGGGGTAACAAAGGGAGGCACCTGAGAAAACATGTGTAATTTATAGTGCTTTTAAATTCAACAGTCTACATCAGAGGTTCCCAAACTTTATTGGCTTACTGCCCCTTTTTCAAGGAAGTAATTTATCACCCCCACCAGAATCTGTCTTCTTTAAGCAAACAAGCCACCCCCACCCAATTGTTTCTGAGGCTATTATGGCCCCTGAACAGTATCTCAGTGGATAGAGAGACCTGGATGGTACCTCCTTCATTGGAAAACACTGGTCTACATAATAAAACTCCCTATTTTTCATGTTTTCAGACAGCTTCCTTCAAGTCATGTGTATAAAGATGTCACCAAAAGGTAGACTTTTTCCCATGACCTCCAGTGAACTTTAAATGCAGGAGGGTTGTTAAATTCATTTTAGGAAATCAATGAATGTTAGATATGGCCAAGATCCTTGGAGATATCCAGAAACCTTTATGTTTTATAGATTAAAGAGGAAAAGTCCCATATCCTAGAGGCAGAATTAAAAGAACACTTTAAAGCAGCTTTTTCACAAGAAAAAGCAGGGCCGGAGCAATAGAACAGTGAGTAGGGCACTTGCCTTGCAGCATCCCATATGGTCTTCTGAGCCCCACCAGGACAGAGCCAGTAGTAAACCCTGAGCTCCATCATGTGTGAGCCAAAAACAAGAGAAAAAGAAAGAAAATGTTTCTTATACTATGCCTCTTTCATGAGTCCTTCCTTAGGATGTAACAAAGTGACAACAAACCATTTAAATATTATTATTTATGTCAAATATCAAGCAATAAAAGTATGGAGTTTTCAAATCACACTTAATACCATGCTTTAATTCCCATATTTGTTCCTAATGCCTAAGATCAAGAAAATGGTTTACTCCACAGAGCAGTGATACGAGGAACTGGCCAGTTGAACAACTTCAGCTTTAACCATGTAGCACTGTCCTCCCATTGTTCATCGATTCACTCGAGCGGGCACCAGTAACATCTCACAACAAATTGTGAGACTTGTTACTGTTTTTGGCATATTGAATACGTCACAGGGAGCTTGCCAGGCTTTGCTGTGTGGGTGAGATACTCTCGGTAGCTTGCTGGGCTCTCCAAGAGGGGCAGAGGAATCGAACCCAGGTTGGCCATGTCAGCCGCGTGCAAGGCAAACAAACGCCTTACCCGCTGTGCTATCGCTCCAGCCTCTGTCACATATCGAGGAGAAAGAAAGGCCTCCCAAATACCCCCACAAGTGCATGGAGAGTGAGAGGAACAGCCAGCCACACACTGTGTATCAGCAGGTCCTAGTGACAGGACCTGCCTGTCATGTGCCTCCAGGTTAGCATGAAAGAAGAGAAACCAACTGTCTTTATGACAAAATCCCCAGAACCTTATACTATCTGAAGGAATTTAAGATAGCATTACAAAATCAACAAACAAAATTTAAGATATTATAAAATCAACAAAAGAATCAGAAGAACGTTGTTGAAAAACCTTTATCTTTAGTAAAAGTCCAAACCAGGTGTAGAAAGGGCAATGAAATCAACATGATGCCACTGGCCCTTGCCATACTGCCAGCCAGGAGGACAAGAACTTCCTGCCTCTGCCCTCCCAGGGAAACAGCTGCCCGGGCTTTGACAGGAGTAAACATTGACACTGACTGACATTCAACTTCTCTACTTGCAAAGCTGTACTGCTGCTACCCTTCATCCTTTGCAGGATCAAAGTGCAAAAATCACTTGCATATTGTTAACTTAGGTCTAGAAATGAGGCAACAGGTGTCTGCAGTATGGTGTGTAAGAAAAAAAATCCAAAAAACTAAACATAGTATTTTAAGAGATTATCTGAACAAAATTTCATGTAGATTGGGCAGCAGCAAACTGGATAGCTCAAGACCACTCATTTGAATGTGGACACGGGTGGGAAGTGTAGAATGACTCGTACCTGGAAGTGCAGGAGCCAAGTGACGCTTTAGCTTCAATGCTAGATTTAAGTCTTTGTGGTTGGTTACCCTCAGGTTTTGCTCTCAACCTTGAAGCACTTACAGGCTTAGCTTTTGTTTTGTGCATCTTGGCTTCTTGGTGCTAGTATCATCTCCATCTCGTGACCTCCTTGTTTAATTTCTTTTTAATTGCTGGAGCAGTAGCACAGCAGGTAGGGCATTTGCCTTGCATGCAGCTGACCAGGCCCACCCAAGTTCGATTCCTCCACCCCCTCAGAGAGCTTGGTAAGCTCCCGAGAGTATCTCGCTCGCACGGCAAAGCCTGGCAAGCTACCCATGAAGTATTTGATATGCCAAACACAGTAACAACAAGTCTCACAATGGAGATGTTACTGGGCCCACTCGAGCAAATCAATGAACAATGGGAGGACAATGCTACAGTGCTACTGCCACAATAAAGTATCTGTATTAAATGTATGCAAACGTGTGGTCCTAAAGATGCATCATTAGAAAAGAGTTCCAGAAGGATGACTGGTCTCCAATTTGGAAGATAACAGCAACTCCCCCCTTTTTCTAAATGAGAGAAAGCAGTAACCAATGGTGGTCCAGGGCCCTAGCCCATTTACAAGCAACTTAGCAGCTCTGGGGGAAACTCTGGATTTTACCGTCACTCCCCAGGCGCAGAAACCAACCCATGCATCTTCCTCTTGAGCACTGGCGAGACTCTAATACCATCCACAGTTTCTTCAGAGCCACTGCTGCGGCCTGCGGGCACAGCATTGATCCTGGGGATTCTTGGTCGTGAGAACAAAAATTGCTCAAACTCGAAGCTTCCTGCCATGGTGTAGAGAATCTTGAGGAGTGAAAAAGAGGTAGCTGGTGAAGTTGCCCAATGGTGGCACTGGGGTCAGAACCTTGTGGGAAGATCTGAATAGTGCCTCCCGCCCTCCTTCCATGTCCCTTCTCACTCTGTCCCCGAGGTGGGCCCCTTCTTCTACAGGCACCTCCTTCTTACTCTGCTCCCTCTTCACTTCCCACACAGCTCAGCCCTCTCAGAAGGGCTGTCCAGCTTCCGTGCTTGCTGGGAGAAGCTGGTAAAACTATGCTCTGACTCATACACATCAGCCATTTTTCACTACAGTTGTAAATCAAGACCAAGATTTCCATGCACGGCATATTATAAGCTTTGACATCCTGCACGGGCAGAGCCTGGCAAGCTCCCTATGGAATATTCGATATGCCAAATACAGTAACAACAGGTCTCATTCCCCTGACCCTGAAAGGGTCTCCAATCATTGGGAAAAGACTAGTAAAAAAGAGGCTGCTAAAATCTCAGGGCTGGGAGGAATAGAGACGTTACTGGCACCTGCTCGAGTAATTCAATGATCAATGGGATGACAGGGATATAGTGATACAGTGACTTTCTTGAATAGCAATAGCCATCGTGTGGATTCTAATTCCAGTTCCATAGTGCTTTGCTTTCCCACTTATATTGACATCCATGAAAGAGCTATTTTTCATTGAATTTCATTTTTAGAACCATTTGAAGTTTACAGTGAGTCCATGAGTGACAAGTTGAGAGTCAGTGCAGAGACCCCTCACAGGTGAGGGTTCAGTGAGGTGGGGGGGGCTTTACCACTCTGTGTAAGGGTTAAGGTCATAGAACCATCCTCTCCTCATCAAATCAGCTTTCTTCCTCTTCTTCTTTTGCTTTTACAAAACAACTTTATTTCTCAGTCTGGTTGTCATTGGGAAAGTTCCTCTTCCCAGTCGATCTTACTGGCTGGGTGGTCTGCTCTTTCTAAATAAGGCCAGATGTTCAAAAGGAAGTAGCTGCAATTGTAAGTGTTGTGTTTTCCCGTTTTTTTGCTGACTGGTAACCCCTTATGCAAAGACTCGGGGCATGGAGTGCAAACAGAACTGCTTTGAGAGCCAGGGACTATGGCTGTAGAGAGAAGTTCCCTGATGTTGGCACTTACTGCTCTTGGTGCTTCAAGCCCAAGAATCACTTTCTCAGAGATAGTGCTACCAAAATCAATTCAGGGAAGGGTGTTTTGCTTGCTGCGCTGTTTTTCCTTTCCATTGACGCTCTTGTTTTCCTGACTTCAGAACTACCGGTATGTGTTGTTAAAAAAGAACAAGTTGAGAAAGGAAATTTAAGTCACCCATATTCTCATCACTGAATACCTTAGGCCACCTGCATTTGTGTTTCAGTTTCTTCACTGCCATGGGCAGATGGCGTGGTTTTCTCTCCACCTTTGCAATTAAGACATCAAATTGTCTTTAATAAAAATGGCAATTATTTTGCATAGTGAGGCTGGAGCGATACCACAGCCGGTAGGGCGTTTGCCTTGCACGCGGCTGACCTGGCCGACCCCGGTTCGATTCTTCCACCCCTCTCGGAGAGCCCCAAGCTACCGAGAGTATCTAGTCTGCAAAGCAAAGCCTGGCAAGCTACCCATGACGTATTCAATATGCCAAACACAGTAATGAGTGTCACAGTGGAGGCGTTACTGGGCCCGCTGAGCAAATCAGTGAACAACGGGAGTGACAGTGACAGTGACAGATGCAGTAAGAACTGGGGTAGTAACCTGTAACTTTAGGATTTAGTTCGTTAGAGCAAGGTGGCTTTTCCCAGGAAGCATTTGGTCATATTATCGCCCACTGGCCTCCTTTTTAGACCAGTCTGCTTTAGTCCACCTAATCCCAGAGGGTCCTTCAAGGACTCAGAGGAGACAGAGTGCCATCTTGGCTGTTTTCTTCCTATTAGATCCTCTCTCTTTCATACATGGCCCTGTCCAGTGTCCTTTTTCAGACGCTGGGCTCTCCCACATCATAGCAAGGGTGGCACAAAGCCTGCCCCAGGTCCTTCTGAGGCCTGGGTGGCATCCATATTTTGGAGTATTAGGATGAAGGCCAGTCTTAGGGTAATTGAAGCTTAAATTAAGCCAGTATCATAAATATCCAGGGTTCCATAAGATCCACCTGCAACATTTGAGGTTTGAGCTTCATCACTTTATACTTGAGATTTCAAAGTAGACAAGTAGCTACTTTGTTACCCTGCTAATAAATTGGAACCCCTTTACCATGTTTCAGTGAGAGAACCCAATTTCCTGGGTCGATGCAAACAAAGGCATTGCCATGAAGTATTAAATTTTATGAAGCTGTCAAGAAGAGAAAAGCAAGTGCCTCATTTTAACAATAAAATGAAGTTTTCCCATTTTTTATGGGCCATAGATTGAAAGAAGTGCTGCTAAAACGTATAGAGGTAGAACATACAGTTTGGACAACAATGAGATGTTTGTTTGGCTCTTCTAGTTCTGTGTGATTTTGTCTTAAGTTTTAAGTGTCCAATTTCTAAGAAGACGCCATTTTTTTTTTGAGAGCACTGTAACTTTTTGCTTAATCTTATGGCAGGTCTGAAGCATTAGTCTAAGATCCTTTTTTTCATAAATTTTCAGCAATAGTACAGCGGTAGGGCATTTGCCTTGTGCGCAGCCAGCCTTGCCAAGCCAGGTTCGATCCCTCTGCCCCTCTCAGAGAGCCTGGCAAGCTACCGAGAGTATCATGCCCGCGCGGCAATGCCAAACACAGTAACAACAAGTCTCAAAATGGAGATGTTACTGGGCCCGCTCGATTAAGCAAATTGATGAACAATGGGAGGACAGTGTTTGTTTGTTCCCAAATAAAAGTATTAGATAATTCCACAGATACAATTTAAAGATTTCCTTATAATATGAAAAGAGAGTAAGTATATTGAATAGTAGTATAAGATTCATGACATATCTAGGGTTAACCAGAACATATAAGAGTTCTTACAACTTCCAGTAGGGCTGGAGCGATAGCACAGCGGGTAGGGCGTCTGCCTTGCACGCGGCCAACATGGCCGACCCGAGTTCGATTCCTCCACCCCTCTCGGAGAGCCCGGCAAGCTACCGAGAGTATTCGATATGCCAGACACAGTAACAACAAAGTCTCCAATGGAGACGTTAGTGGGCCCGCTCGAGCAAATCGACGATCAACGGGAGGGCCTTTACCTTTACCTTTTACAACTTCCAATTATTCTTAGAATACCCATATTGTAATTCATATAAAGTTGGACATTTCCTTTTATGTGATGGTGCTGCCCATGAAGTTTTAACATACAGAACAGGTATTTATACTCTTTATAGTCACCTTTCATAGGCATACACACACATCCTTATTTTAAAAGTACTCAATGAGGTTTCTTTACTAAATTTAGTACGTTGATTTTCCAAGAGATTTGAAAACTAGTCACTAGTCATTTTTTCTTTTTTTTTCCCCCTCGTTTTATACACAATCCTCCATTTGTATTCCACCTTCTGTCTGTAGGGGCAGATTCTTTGGTAAGTTTGAGGCTGGACTGAATACCAGCAGGAAGACCTAATATTCTCTAAACTTCTACCACAACACAGTGCTCTGATATCAGGCTATCAGGATGATATCTGAGATAACCAATTATTTACTTTTTGCTAAGTAGATCTAGAAATTTGTTACCAAAAATCCCAGAGTTCAAATATTCTTAGATGTGTGGTATTGCTCTTCAACACCATATTGTTGTGGCACCCTTTTCCTTTCATACAGGTTCTTTTCTCTCCAGCACTACCTGCAGTGGCACTTACTGATCTTATCCCTTAATGTTTATGTAGAATTTTTACTTGAACAACAAAGGGAAAAAAGAAAACAAAGAAACAGTGGAGAAAATGAATGCCAAGTACAAAGAATCCTTACTTGAGGTAAGTTTAATTCTGCAGAGTAGCAGAAGAAAAGAGAAAGGTGTTATGTATCTATTTTTAAATTATTTGCTCCTCAGAACTCTGAGACACACTGAAGTGTTAACTTGGGAGTTCTTACTCGGATTATTATCAAATTATAGCAATTTAGTTCATTAAGGTGTGTCTGAGTTAGTTGTTTAAAAGATAGTATGGCTTTTCTTGAAGTTTGTTATTGTATGGCTATGAAGTCACATAAAAGGCAAACGCCCTACCCGCTTTGCTATCACCTTAGGGCTGGAGTGATAGCACAGCGGGTAGGGCATTTGCCTTGCACACGGCCATCTGGGTTCAATTCCCAGCATCCAATATGGTCCTCCGAGCATTGCCAGAAGTAATTCCTGAGTGAAAAGCCAGGAGTAATCCCTGTGCATCACCGGGCATGACCCCAAAAGAAAAAAGTAACTCACTGCCTGATGGGCTGGAGTGATAATACAGCGGGGTATGGTATTTGCCTTGCACGCAGCCGACCCAGGTTTGATCTTAGGATCCCATATGGTCCCTCGAGCACTGCCAGGTGTAATTCCTAAGTGCAGAGTGAGCCAGGAGTAGCCCCTGAGCATTGCTGGCTGTGACCCAAAAAGCAAAAAAAGAAAAAAAGGTCATCACTTGACAGCTTCTAGTGATCCATCCATTTTATTGTATATGTTACCCATAGACATCAGACAGAAAGATTTCCAAATCTCTAAATTGAGTTCTTTTGTTTTGTTTTGTTTCAGGGCCACACCCAGCATTGCTCAGGAATGACTCCTGACTCCGCACTCAGGAATTACTCCTGATGGTGCTTGGGGGGGGGTCCCCATATGGTATTGGGGGGTCTAATCCAGGTTGACCCTCTACAAGGCAAACACCCTACTCACTGTACTATCTCTTCAGCCCCTAAAGTGAGCTCCTAAAGAGATGCTCTTCCAGCAGTGAGGTGTGACAGGGAGTGTGAGACTTGATGTGAGATCTCTGACACAGTTACATCTCTGTCTTTTGGTATGTATTATTAGGCTAGTCCATCCGTTTCTTGAGGGATATTAAATTATTTCAGAGAGCCAGTGGAGTCCAGAATGTCTTTTAATAATTTTCAGTAATTGACACTGTTGGGACCTGCTCCAGAAATTCATTGGGCAATTGATATTTTGAAGAACATAATGAGTTTTCTCATAGTAATACTGCCCAAAAGTCCAAGCTGTTCCCAGCATTTAGCACAGGTGAATGTCTGGCCATGGATCACATGCTGAAGCTCTAGCTTGTTGCCTTCCCACGGGACAGTGAATCAACCTTTCTTGGACTTCCCGGAAAGAAAACTCGGAAGACCTGGTCATGGGCCTCGTTCCCACTGGGGGCCAGTGCTCTGCCCCATTCCCAGGTCCCTGCACATGTCTTTCTCCCTACCAGGCACCCCACCACCCAACCAGGACTCCTGGAGCAAACACCACACCCAGAAACCCAATACAAGTTACAAGTATACATCTAGGGACCAAGTGCATAGAGAGCATTTTGCAGGGGACCCCACCATGGGGTGAGATGTCCTGGGTTAACCAAAGTTCAGGTTGAGTGAGGAAGAGATTAACTACCCAGGTATCCCCTGTAGCAATGAGATTTGGGTTCCCAGCTCACGTGGCAGTGAATGGAGACCCACAGACATTCAAGGGCAGCAAACAGCTTCCTAACACCATTTGTTTCTCATCAATCCTCATACAAGTCAGGGCCTGCATAGGCCTGGATCTATACACCTACCTGAATCATTCTCGTTTTAAAAGCTAACTCCTAGGGGGATATGGTGTCGCCAGCAGGTCAATCTGTACCTGTGAGGCGAGTGCATCAGCAGCCTCATGGCACCTTCAGACTTCCAGATACCCCAAAATTGCTGCTGTGCCTTTGGCCAGACCCCAAAAACTTGGGGCAAAGTTTACCAAGAAAGTAAATGGCCAAAAGTTAGGTATGTGGGAAACACACCCACAAACCACCTCCAGCTCAGCTATATAATTGGAGGCATGGCCTCTCTGGTTCCTGATTGAACTGCTTAATGGCCATGATCCCAGAGACTCAGAAACAAATCTCGAAACCCAGTGGCTTTTGGCAGAAATGCGTCCGGTCCCTGCAGTAGGTTACCGGTGCTGGGCCAACCTAGGTGGGAATAGGTTTCGTGCCTTGGCCTGTTGCCCCTGGCAGCTCGGTGGCTACCATCTTCCAGAGGCCACTGGACAGTCAGGTTTGGGCCCACAATGACGAGACATTTTGGGCCTCACAGAATGGGGGTGGAGCTGGTCCTGTCCTCCCCACCCCAATGAGACCCCAAGTCATTGCCCACAAATGGCCTCTCTGGCTTCTGATCAAGCTGCTTAACGACCATGATCCCAGAGACTCACAAACAAATCTTAAAACCCGGTGGCTTTTGGCAGAAATACATCCAGACCCCGCAGTAGGTTACCATTGCCAGGCCACCCCAGTGGGGAAAGGGTGCTGTCCCTCCGCCTGCTCCCCCTTGGTGGCTCGGTGGTCCCCATCCTCCAGAGGCCATTGGACAGTCAGGCTTGGGCCCGCAGTGACGAAACTTGTTGGGCCTCATGGGATAGAGGTGGAGCCGGTCCTGTCCTCACCATCCCAACGGGACCCCAAGTCATTGCCCACAAATGGCCTCTCTGGTTCCTGATCAAGCTGCTTAATGGCCATGATCCCAGAAACTAAGAAACAAATCTTTAAACCCAGCGGCTTTTGGCAGAAATGCGTCCAGACCATGCAATAGGTTACTGTCGCCTGGCCACCCCAGGGGGAAAAGAGTGTTGTCCCTCCGTCTGCTTGCCCCTGGCGGCTCGGTGGCCGTCATCCTCCAGAGGCCATTGGACAGTCAGGTTTGGACCCGCAGTGACGAGACATTTTGGGCCTCATGGGATGGGGGTAGAGCCAGTTCTGTCCTCCCCACCCCAATGAGACCCCAAGTCATCGCCCAGGAACGGTCTTTCTGGCTCCTGATCAAGCTGCTTAACGGCCAAGATCCCAGAGACTCAGGACTAAATCTCGGAACCCAGCAGGTTTTGGCAGAAATCCCTCCAGATTTAAGTGTTAAAATTTCGGAATTTCAAAATTGTGCAGCCACTACTGCAGCCACGTGACATCATATGTTATTCATAACCAGCAATAGAAAACAAATTGTCTACTGTTGCCTTTTCAGCAGATCTGAGTGGTAGAGTAAAATCTCAAATAATAATGGTGGGTCTGGTGTCAAAATATTGAATGTGATCAAAGTAGAGAGTAATCTGGAAATCATCTGCCCCACAGGTTGGGGGAGGGTGTGGGATGGGGGTATACTGGGGTTGTTGGAGGTGGAGAATGGTCACTGGTGAAGGTACGGGTATTTCATTGTATGACCGAGACTTAGAACCAAAAGCTTTGTAACTGCTCTCACGGTGATTCAATAAATAAAATTATAAAAAATGAAAAAAAGTAAGGTGGAGTTCATGCACAATTCAATCAGCTAATCAGTGGCTGAATAAATAGCAGTACTCCTACATAAATAAATAAATAAATAAATAAACAAATAAAAGCTAACTCTTAGACTTGAAGAAAAACATGGTGGTCACCAAAAGGGAAAGAAGAGAGGGAGGGGTAGAACTATACAGAGGGGTTCACTATCACGGTGTGACTGGCATTAAAATGATTTAGTGCAGCAAGATATAGGCACATTTTGAGACATGAAACTTACATCCTATTATAAGCCAGTGAAAAATTTGAAGAATTTTTTATTTGGAAAAAAAAAACTGTGAAAGAAAGAAAAATTTGTGAATGAAAATAACAGAGCTTGTTATGTTGTAAGCGGGGGCAGGGCTGGGGGTGACATCAATATTAGCATATTTTCTATTTTGGCCCCCCAATTTTTTCTTTTAATGTTTATTTACATTTTTGAACAATCTTTGTATTGAGTAATAATGGTATACAGCCCTATGTAGTTTCACCTCAACAACTACCTTTGGGGTATTGTTGACTGACACCCCTAATGTCAGTCACCCTCCAGCACCAACAGGTCAGCACTGTCCCCCAACCCTGTTACTGTACGGCCTCAACATTGAGAGCCACTATTCTATTGTCAGAATCTAGTTTATTCCAAACCATCTTAAGATATCACTGACAAGGACCACTTATAGTCCTAAATTCGAGAAAAACTGTCACAGCAGAGATTATTTCTCTGCTCCACAGAGTATACAACTATTTGAGGAACACAAAATAAGTTTGACAATTTGAGCAGAAAACTAGAATAATGATGTAATTTTATTGCATTGCTTTTTCAAAAAAAATTATAGTTCTATGCAAGTTTTGACATTTGAAAATCTCTGCCTAGAAAGTCTACTTTTTCTCTCATATGTTTTGTATCATTGGAATCTTAATTTCAGGAAAGTTTCTGCGGAACATCGGTCATTGTACCAGAACTTGAAGGAGCTCTTTATTTGAAAGAAGATGGAAAGAAATCTTGGAAAAGGCGCTATTTTCTTTTGCGGGCTTCTGGAATTTATTATGTGCCCAAGGGAAAGACTAAGGTCAGAAAAAATACTGTCTTACTGCAACAAAAGAAGTTTGTGTTTGAAATTTTAGGAAATTTTATTTCTTAAAAGTGAAACTAGAGTCCGGAGTGATAGCACAGCAGGTAGAGCATTTGCCTTGCATGTGGCTGGCCCAGGTTCTATCCCTGGCATCCTAAATGGCCCACACATGCACCGCCAGGAGTAATTCTTTAGTGCAGAGCAGGAGTAACCCATGAGAATTTCTGGGTGTGACCAAATAGATAAATAAATAAATAAATAAATAAATTTTGAAAAGTGAAACTAAAGAAATCAGGTAGCAGTTTAAGTATGCTCTCCATTTCTGTGAAATTTATGTTACTCTGATGTTTGTATATATACTTCCTAATAGAATTACACAAAGCCTGTTAAATTTTTTAATCAGTTTTTATCGAAGGTGAAAATTTTTATCTATCAAAAATACTCTTCTAGTAATTAATTTGTTGTAATCTAATTTCTGAAAGACTCTTCCACGAATTCTATTATCATTACAGTAAAACTTATCATAGAGGCATTTGAAGTCTTGATAGAACAACAATTTTAGCGCTTCCACTCCAAACATTTAAATTATTCTCTGATATGCATTTCCCTATAAGTTAACTGGGATCTTGGGCATCTTCTATCTGCTTCCTGGTGATTGGCTCCAGTCTACGGGCATATAGAAAACTCTCCCTTGAAATATCTCTCACTCTGACCATAAACTTCCCTGAGACCTTTCTTAAAGGGTTGGTACATTTTTTCCATCATTTGTTTATCACTTACCTGTATCTGGAGTTAAACTAGAAGGTTTGGCTTTCACTGTAAGTCCACAGCACCACCAAATGGCAGCTGTAGAAATTGCAGGCTTCTTATCAGAAGCTTGATCATGTGCCTTTGCAGATTGAGGTCATGATGAATATTCTGGTCACACTTCTGCAGACATCACATGGAAGTTGCTTGGTCCAGGGTAGCAGTGGTCTCTAAGACATGATTCTTAGAAATGATTAGAATCACTAGGCCTCTTAGAAATTATTAGAATGGTTAAAATGAAACCTTAGAAATGACTCTTTCTCTCTGTTTATCTTGTCAGTCCCGCACTAGGAACAGAACAGTTGACACATAAAAGATTTATTTTAGAAATGTTATGACCTTGGCATTTGCCTGTAAACAAGGCATATAAATTATCCTGTCACAAACCACACATGTGGTAATTAAAATTATGAGTGTTCAGATCCGAGTTGACATGGGTACTTTTTTGCTCACTGCTCCCCTTAATATTGGAAGGGAACAACTGACCAGTAAGATACAGGAGATTCCATGCATAGTAGGAAGAAAATATGACAGGAAGTGTTCAAAATATATAGGCACATAATATAAAATTTAATAAAGGAAGTGAAAGAGAACGAAATATATAAATATACTGTGTTGCTAGATGAAAACAGACTAATTTTTTCCCAAATTTATCTATGTATTCAATCCCCCTTCCCAATTTTAATAGGATTCTTTTTGCTTAAAGTACAAAGACTTGGGGCTAGAGAAATAGCACAGCGGGTAGGATGTTTGCCTTGCACGTGGCCGACCAAGGTTCAATTCCCAGCATCCCATATTGTTCCCTGAGCACCACCAGGAGTAATTCCTGAGTGCAAAGCCAGGAGTAACCCCTGTGCATTGCCGGGTGAGACCCAAAAATAATAATAAAAAAAAGTACAGAGACTGCTTCTAAAATCAGAAAGATAGTACAGGGAATAAAGCACTTTTTCTTCATGCAGCTAAACCTGGTTTGATCCCCAGAACCTCAGGTGAGGAGTAAACTCTGAGCTCAACCTGACATGACCCAAACCCTCCCACTAAAAAAGCTGATTACTTATCATGGAAATCAAAATTAGTGAACTCTCTGCATCCATAAGAATGGTAAAATTAGCAAATTCTAAAATCTAAATTTCAGCAGGGGAGTAACAAAAATGGGTCTTTTCATGCAAAGGGGGCTGGCACACCATTTAGCAGAGTCAAATTAGGGGACAGTATAACAAGATGTTTGCAAATACAAGGGAGTAATGCCCTTTCAGACATCAGCTCTCTCTTGGGAAGTCTATTCCAGAGAATTGTTTTCTCATACATAAAGAAATTTTTTTAATGGCAAAATATTGAAATAGTCTATTTTTCTCAGTAGTCAGATGGTTAAATAAATCATTATACCCCATACGGTGGAAAATGAGCATCTGATATACATTCACGTATCGTGACATAGAAATATCTAGATTGAGTGTTAGAAAAGAATGAGCTCATGTAACAATACATAGAGAACAATCCCATTCACAGTTAAAGCTGTTTTGTATATGGGTAAATATGTGGACATGTCCATACATACATTCATATGTCAATATGCTTACCAAAAACACATTTCAAAGAATACTACCAAACTATTCATTATGGTTCTTTTGGAGAAAAGAGTGGAATTAGGAAAAAAAAGGATTATGAGGGAAATTTTTCATTTGCTTCTGTACATACACTTTAAAAAATTGCAACAGTTATTTTTGTAATCAAAGAGCTGGAAATCCGGGACTGGAGTGATAGCACAGCGGGTAGAGCATTTGCCTTGCACGCGGCTGACCCGCATTCGATTCCCAGCATCCCATATGGTCCCCTGAGCACCTCCAGGAGTAATTCCTTAGTGCAGAGCCAGGACTAACCCCTGTGCATTGCCGGGTGTGACCACCCCCCCCCCAAAAAAAAGGCTGGAAATACAGTCACATATACCTCAGAAGGAGAAATATATGCAAAAAAATTATATATAAAAATAACATTTGCACACACTGCCCCATTTATTCTTACTCACTAACCAGGTAATGAATTAAGGGAATGTGAGGGGCACATGGAAGGCATCATAGGATAAATTTGTCTTTGAAATGTGACCCCACATGTAAATTAGAGGTTGCTGTCTACATTGGGAACATTGTCCATGGTGGAGAGGTTTCTGTTTCCATAGCAACACTTCAGCTCTGAGGAGGAAGCATGACGCTTTTTTTCCTCAGGAAGAAGTACATGAAATGTGTGTTCATTTACTGTCATCAAATTCATCTCTCCTGGATGGAAAAAACACTAGCTGAATTTTTTGACACACATAGGTCATTCGTCTTGTCTCCATGGCCTCAAAGCTGATGTCTCAAGGTCATCCGGTAGCACGAGGGTCCTTGTGATAGAAAAGGCAGAAGGATCTTTCACTCCATTTCTGGGCCTGTGACTCCCATTTATGCCTCAGGTATATTTTTGCCTCTTAAAATGCAGTTCTGGCAGATGATTTTTTAAAGTTTCCTGAAATTCAATATTTTTCCCATTAAAGTGGAATCAATAACCACACCATCAAGAACAACTGTGAAAATTTTTGAACTGTCAACTGTCAAGATTTTGAATTTTATTCCTTCTCTTTCAGACATCTCGAGATCTGGCTTGTTTCATACAATTTGAAAATGTCAATATTTACTATGCGATTCAGTGTAAAATGAAGTATAAGGCACCCACTGACCACTGCTTTGTTCTAAAGGTATGTCATATGAAGCCCAAGATAGAGGTGGAGAAGTCATTCTTTTTCTTTTTTTTTTCCTGGTGTGTGTGCGGGGGTCGGGGGGAGGAAGGGAGGGATAATCATCTTTAAATTTAATCAAGTAGAAGTTACTTAGATCAAAACAGAAAAATTAAATGGATGCCACAAATTTAAACCCAAGTCATTTGGACTGCAGAAGTAGTAAATATTCTCTTATTAGAAATTTACTTGCGTTTGGGGCTGGAGCGATAGCACAGCAGGTAGGGCATTTGCCTTGCACGCAGTCGACCCGGGTTCGATTCCCAGCATCCCATATGGTTCCCTGAGCACCGCCAGGAGTGATTCCTGAGTGCAGAGCCAGGAGTAACACCTGTGCAACGCCGAGTGTGACCCCCCCCCCCAAAAAAAAGAAATTTACTTGCCGGGGGGAGGGGTGGGGGTGGGCAGAACAAAATAGTACAGTGGAGAGGGCATTTGCCTTGCATGTGGCTGATCCGGGTTCAATCCCCAGCATCCTATATGGTCCCCTGAGCACTGCCAAGGGTAATTCCTGCATGCAGAGCTAGGAGTAACCCCTGAGCATCACCAGGTGTGACCCAAAAAGCCAAAAAGGAAAAAAAAAAAAGAAACGAAAAAGAAATTTACTTGGAAGCATATAGAAGTCATTCTTGAACTCTCTTCTTTTACTGTCTAAACCCTGAGCATTTCCAGTTGTGACCCAAAAAGCCAAAAAAGAAAAAAAGAGAAAAAAAAAGAAAAGAAAAAGAAATTTAGTTGCAAGCATATAGAACCCATTCTTGAACTCGGCCTTGTCCTGACCTCTGTGTGCCATGTTGCATGCTTGAGAAAAGTTTTCTCTTTCTCAAGTCAGGCGCAAACAAACCAATTGCAGGAGAGTCTGGGAGTGGCACTAGCAAGCTCCATGACCGCCCCCCCTTCCCTTCTCCCCATGCTCCCTGCCTTAAGCTGCCTTGCAAACAGTCTTTCAGCTAAAGACTGAGTTAGAGTGCGAATCCCTAGGTGAGGTCCCAGACATAACTGAAGAACAAGCGTATGGTTGCTCTGAGATGTCCTGAGAGCCTGGAGGATTTCTGCATGAATGAGGGAGCCAGGAAGGAGCCTGGTGTCATCTTAGAACCATAAAATCTGGGGCATAGAGCCAGAGATATGGATAATGCTTGCAGGAAGCCTTGAGTTTGATCCCTGATAACTCAAAACAAATTTCAAGGCTGGTAATTTTCCTTCAAGGTCATCTAGCTCGTAACCTTTCCAGTATCCATACCTAGCCAGCTTGTAATATAAGGAAATGGGAGAGATATATCATGGTGAGATGCATCACAGTGAGATGTATCACACTAATAGTAGAGAGAATGAACCAAGTGCCATATATCTGCCTCAGCACCGCACCAACATTATTAGAGCTCAAGGTCAAGAGTGGCTACTCCGTTTTATGCTCCAGAACCAGTAGGTTTAAGGGAACTGTCGCATTTTCACACTGTTTACTTAAGAAATTGTATTCATGAAATCCTCTGTATAGACAGTTTTGTGGCATTTCATCGCAAGCACAATTTGTAGTCAGACAGTTGTTTTAGACACCTCAGAAAAGAAAATAGCACCTGCTTTCTAAGGATGCAATTATTAAGGACTCATATTTATTAGGGACTCAGTCAGAGCAAAACAGCTGTCATAAGGGCGGCGGATGGAGGGGGGTATTTTTGGTGCCGAAAGACAAGACTTTTAGTTGAACTTTGGAAATTCTGTCATTTAACGGAATGCTGCAGGCATCCATGGAATGTCACATTCCTCTAGGGGAAAAGTCCCCCACAGTCTCCTTGTCACTGATATAACCTTCAAGTTATGCGACAAACCCTGTCTTGGTTTTGGGCCACATTATCAGAGTTTATATAGAATTCTGATTTAAGGGCATTCAAAAGAATGGATATTGGGGTGATATTTAAAAGAATAAAATCTACTATCCAGGGTTCTTTGACATGTGCCTCCGCCATGTCAGAGTGTTTGCTGCCATCTGTTGGTCATAGTAGAAATCATCATCCAGGAGCTCAACTTTCAACCGTTGACTGAAGAGGCTCTTTGGACCAAAGTAAATTGGAATAGACTTTTCTTCAGGAGTCACTGCTGATGCTGATTTTTGAGGACCTATAATTCAAGGGGGAAATCTATTTAAAAATAAAACTATGAAGGTAGACTTATCTCCAAAGACCAAAAAAGGGAAATTCTTTATAGTATCTTTCCTTTTTCTGTGGTGACTTTAAAACCTAGAATCCAGGACTGATTAGAAAAACAGACATTGGAGGCTGCGGCAAGAGACCCCCAAAGTTCTAGTGGAGTAAAACTCATAGTAATCTGTCTGGAGTTTGGATATTTCTCATTTGTAAAATCAAAAAGTACTGATTTAAGGGCATTCAAAAGAATGGATATTGGGGTGATATTTAAAAGAATAAAATCTACTGTCCAGGGTTCTTTGACATGTGCCTCCTTTGACATCTCAAAGACTTGGAGTCCATCTAATCTCATCCTTCCTGGCAAGGACAGTACCCCCACTGGGTTTTGCTGGCTGAGCTGTGAGACTGAGCCATAGGTCAACAGTGTAAAATCTTATGCATGCTGAAGGTTGTGTGTTCACGGGCTCTCTAGACGGCCCTATCTCACCGCCCACGTTCGGTACTCTTGAGCCACTGTGTATGGCCTGGATCAGGATGGCTGTTCTCTCTCTCTCAAGCTTGGGCCCTCTCGCTATGACTCTGGATCTCCCTCGCCCAAGCCTACAGTCTTAGTTTATACAATAATCATGTAAGGTGGTGACACAAAGGTGGGTTAAACATTAACAAATCAACAAAGAGAAGTAAGACTCCTCCAGGAGACTAACTAAAGGATAAAATCTCATCTAAAGAGATTACTCCAGATTACTAGGAGATCTGCTCAAGGGTGGGATCCCAACAAGGGTGTATTCTTTCCTCAGCTAGTAATCTACTTAAATAGTTGTAGTAAATGTGCTTCTAATATTTCTAGCAATCTCATTCTGTATGAGCACAGTAAGGGACATAAATTTACAGTTTGGTTCTTCCTGAGGACATCTCACTATATATATTCCGCAGTCCTTTGGGCCAGACTAGTCTTCCTAGCCCCAGCATGGTCCTAGTCTCATCGTTACTTACTTTTGGATCATGACAGCATTTGTCCATGATCATGCCCTCAACTTATAGTTGAGTATCGTGGCACTTTGGCCTGGCCCATTTCGATGCCAGGGTAGCTCACAGCTTGCCCTGGGTCCATTCAGTCCCTCGTTGGGACCCTGCTTTTGGGATGGTAGGAACTAAGGGCAACTGAGTCAAGAAAGCAGATGCCCAGGAGTAAATATTATTCAGAGTCAATCAACTCCCACATTACAAAGCTTGATATTAACTGTCTTCCTGTGTCTATACAGAAAGGACATTGCTTTAAGGTAAACTATTCAAAAGATATAACTTACAAGTTCAGTGTCCTTAGAAGGATCTGACCTTACAAATTAACAGAATCTGATTAGGGGAATAAGCTGATTAGCTGTTTGGGGAAGAGAGCATAGAGAAGTAGTTACTTATAAACAAAAGAATGGGAGTGACTCGGGAGCACTGGTATGGTGTGACCTGATAAACCTAAGCTACCTGAGGAAGGAGAAAACAGTGTTATCCTACAAACAAGTCCAATCAAACTGAAGTGTCAGGGCACCATGCCCTCTGCTAAGATCAAAAATGGCAAATAGCCATTTCTATAAAAGTCACTGAGTCCAGGGAGAGCAGTGAAAGATGGGGAGATAGAACAATGGAAGATGGGGAGATAAAACAATGGTCTAAAAGAAGAGCTGGTCAGCTCTGCCCATATCCGTCCATTGAAGGTAGATAAGGTTCTGCCAGGTCTTTAGGCAATTGTGGTTCGCTTTCAACCCCACCAGCAAGTCTGTGCTTATCCAAACAAGGTAGAAATCTTCTTTTGAGAAATAAAGGAAGAAGACAGAGGTGGTACCACTCTCCACGCCCCCACACACACACTCATGCGCACACTTGCACAAGTCTCACCCCGAGGTTATGATTGGGTGTTATTTTCCCAGTCAGTGAAGCTCAGCAACATTCCAAAAGATGCATGAGAATTCCCATGGAGTACATCTTTGAACTTAGTCTAGATCCTTGGGTGTCCTCAAGACTCTTGGGGCAACAGGAAATCTTGGTTTCTTTCCTTCCACAGTTGTTTCTGTCAGTGCCTGTGAAGCTGCAGGCTGTGTGGTAAACAAGACTGGGAGGGCCTCTGCAGTGAAAGACATGTGACAGATCTCATCCCCCACACCCAACAGCACAGTCACAGACACGCTGCTATGCAGACACGGAGGAGTAAGATGGAGGAATTTGGGGTGATATATTCACACTGCCTGTTCCTGACCCCTTAGTGTCAGCCATATCCTTGTTCTATTAACTGCAGGCTCCCGGAAAGCCTGAGTAACCACCAGAGCAATGCCAAGCTGCTGCATCTTAAAAAGAGAAAAATATGTCTCCATTCATTTACCCAGACAACATCATGACCAGTCTGGGTAGGGAATGGGTTAACAAAGACTGAGAGCTCTGATATTCAGGGGCAGAAGTCCCCCTAAAACTGACTGGGCTGTCGGGGCTGGAGCAATAGCACAGCAGGTAGGGCATTTGCCTTGCACGCAGCCAACCCGGGTTTGATTCCCAACATTCCACATGGTCCCCCGAGCACCACCAGGAGTAATTCCTGAGTGCATGAGCCAGGAATAACCTCTGTGATTCACTGGGTGTGTCCCCAAAAGAAAAAAAAACTGACTGGGCTGTCACACAAGCACCGATCCTCCGACCATCATACAAGTTCTCTTGTCTGATCAATGGAAGATGACTCTGCTTTCTTATGGGGGGAGGGATGAGAGCTCCAAAGGGTTTCAAACATTGAAAAAGGCAGAAACAAAACTCGTTAATTGATAGTAGCAGGAAAAGCATTGATGATGTCCTGTCACAATTTCTTCCAGTCTTTCGAAAGTTTGTTCTTTGTAACAAATACCCCTTCTCTTCCATTCCCAAAATTGTTACAAGGCATTTCAGTCACTACCTCAGGAAATTCTGTAAATTGTTCAGAGCTGTAAAACTTGCTTCAAAGGGGCTTTGTTTTGTTTATTTGTCACATCAGATGATGCTCAGGGCTGGAGCGATAGCACAGCGGGTAGGGCGTTCGCCTTACAAGCGGCCAACACGGCCGACCCGAGTTCGATTCCTCCGCCCCTCTCGGAGAGCCGGCAAGCTACCGAGAGTATTCGATATGCCAGACACAGTAACAACAAAGTCTCCAATGGAGACGTTACTGGGCCCGCTCGAGCAAATCGACGATCAACGGGAGGGCCTTTACCTTTACCTTTACCTACACTCAAGAATTACTCCTAGAGGTGCTCAGGGAACAATACGGGATACAGGGGATCAAACCTCAGTCAGCCATGTGCAAGGCAAACCCCCTACCCACTGTACTATGACAATCACCCTTTAAAGCTGCTTTTAAGTGGTGAGTTTGTAGGTGGCCTTGGAAATAGCTTTTCATTTTCTTTTTTTTTTTGTAGCATCCTCAGATTCAGAAGGAGTCCCAGTATATTAAATATCTCTGCTGTGATGATGCAAGAACACTAAGCCAATGGGTTACAGGAATCAGAATTGCCAAGGTAGGAGCACTTGAACTCCCTGAGTTAGCCACCCTGCTTCTTGACCTGCCACTCTAAAACTGCTGACCAGTGGTACCTGGGTCAGCCCTCCCCAGGAAACATAGCTCATTCTTTTGTCTCCTGAGAAAAGTGAGTGATAGGAACATGGGCCTCTGCAGCCCCCCAAACCAGGATTTACTTCCGTGTGAGCATTTCCCTGCATTTATGGATGGAGAGTACTGCAAGTATCGTGTGTAGTTAAGAAACAGGAGTTGGGATCAGTGGTAGATGCATCCAAACACTTAGAATCCGAATTATCTGACTCAGGACTGCTCCAAGGTCTAGGTACTGAAGCATTCACAGGCTGTTGGTCTGTAAAAATATGTACTGCATGGAATAAATTTGTGAATTTTTTTTTAATTTAAATGCTTCTGGTACTTAAAAAAAATACAGACAGGGAGCTGAAGAGCTAGAATAGCTGGTGATGTGCTGGTCTTCTCGGCACCACATATGGTTCCTCAAAGTGCTATCAGAAGTGATTCCTGAGCATGGACACAGGAGTAAGCCCTGAGCACCATCAGGTGTGGCCCCAAAACAAATAAGAGCGCAGAAAGAGTAGAACAGGGCACTGGCTCAAATGCAGAGCACACTCCATGCATATGCAAGGTCCTGGTTTTCATCTCTGGCATTGCAGACCCCCCTTGGCACTGCTGCAGTGGTCCTGGTCCTTGAAGCACCACAGGGTATAGCCACACAATGAGTAGCCACGAAGCGCTTCTTCCTCTCAATACATCTGTTAGAGTTGGGCTTGAACGGATGCCTCACTTTCTTCTTTTGTGTCGCCTCCATAGTATGGAAAGACCCTCTATGAAAACTACCAGCGGGCTGTGGCAAAGGCTGGGCTTGCCTCTCGGTGCACAAACCTGGGCGCTGTCAATGGAGCCACACCAGCTCCTCCTCCTGCAGGTAATAACACACAGGTCTGACACAGAGCTGCTGTTCGAACTCATCCAAAACAGGGATTGAGATAATCCAAGAGACAAAGCGATTGCCTTGCATGCCGCCAACCCAGCTTCAATCCCCAGCAACACATATGGTCCCCTCCTCCCCCAGCAAGTATCCTCAGAAGCCATCCCTGGGCACAGAGTCAAGAGTCAACTCTGTGTGCCATTGGATGTACCTCCCAAACAGAAGCAAACCAAAAAATCCAACACACTGGGCTGAGGCAATAGCACAGCAGGTAGGGCGTTTGTCTTGCACATGGCCGACCCGGGTTCAATTCCCAGCATCCCATATGGTCCCCCGAGCACTGCCAGGAGTGGTTCCTGAGTACAAAGTCAGGAGTAACCCCTGAGCATCGCTGGATGTGACCCAAAAAACAAAAAAAAAAATCCAATACATTCTATCAAAGGAGACTCCCGAGGCACAGTTCCTTCTGATGTCTGACTGAGTCCTCCCCCGGATCATGCAGGTATATATACATATACCTGTATAGATACTGATACCTTACATGTACTTCATAAGTGACTTTTAGCAAAGCTTTGACCACCATTTTTGCGATGTGTTGATGGATAAGATGGTGATCCCCATGTTAGTGTGAGGTCTCAGGAGTTGTGTCTTGTCAGAGGACAAATAACCCCTGTCCTAGACCCCTTAGATCTCAGAATGCTGCCCACAACAAAGGATAAAGTCATTTCCTGTGACCTCAGTGTCCCCCCAACAAGAGCTCCTAGGAAAGATCCTTGAGAACTTAACCAGAAGTTATCCTGAGCACCACCAGCTGTGACCCAGAGAGAGAGAGAAAGAAAGAGGGAGGGAGAGAAAATGCTGTGAATGCCTTACCCATCCTTGTCTCTCTTCCTCCCTGTCAGGACTTAAAGCAGGCCCCAGTCAAGCCAATGGTCAGATTCCCCAAGCAGCCCCTTCTCTGAGCGTGGGTCTGCAGGAAGCCCAGAGGCACAGTGAAACGACCAAGGTAAGACCGAGGAGGAATGCACAGAAATTCTAACAGACTTCTAATCTGGAAGTCTAGATTTTTTTAATATTCAGAATGGAAAATTTTTTTATTTAATGACATTTATCTTGACTGGGGTGATTTTTCTTAGAGCAGCTAGTTAAGCTGAAGATTATATCAAATCAGATGACTACTCAAAGGGTTACACTATAAAAGGTGTATTTTCTATGTTCCCCAGTTTTGTTCTATATAAAGTCTCATGGTGATGGAGAATAATAGATTCTTATTAATAGCCAAATTAATATAACAGTCTGTATAACCTTGTCTAACAAAGATTAATCATCATTTAAATTTAAAAATTGTAGCTAAAAATGTAACTGAATTCCAAATGATGATATTCCAGTTATCTATATGATTCCTTTGGAATATTTCCCATGTAGGATTCAAAAGAACCTTAAATAACTGTAGCTTCAGAAAATTGTTATGTCATTTTGTCGACAAGCCTGTGGTAGTTATAGTTAAAGTCCTGGATTTCTTGAACTTCTTAAATATTTTGAAAATCACTGTAGACCTTATTTCTCTCTATAATGTTGTATTTTCAATTCATCATGCAGTGTCCTTTCAACATCACTGTTAGTTTCATGATTTCTATAAAAGCCAACTAGAGAGAAACAGTCTAAATGCTGACAGCCAGGGAAGGATCCCAGAATAGAAACACAGAACTGTGTTATGCCCAAGCTGCCTATTTTGAATTCTTTAATACATCCCAGTTAGTCATCACAGCTTATTAAAAAAACTAATAAACCAAATAAAAGAGAATTTAATCATAAGACGTTTTGGTCAAAAAAGACAAACCTGTAACTTTAATCTCCGCTGGTAAGAGCTTATTAGACAAAGAATGAGAATGAAAAGTTGATGACATGTAAATTGCTCTAGTAATTATCACCAAAACAGGGGTGTTTGATTCAGCTGCCTGAATGCCTAAGGAGGTTGCATGATATGAATATAATTCTGCATTGTTTCTTCCACTGTTGGCAGATGAACGACTGAGCATGTTAGCCTTTGGCCAAAACTGGCATTCTGGCTTCTTCCAAAAGCATATCTACCCCGTGACAACTTTTCCAAACCCATGTAGCTCATTTGATCTCATCATGAAACTGAACACGGATTATAATAGGGATTGTGATGCTCATTTTACACCTGATTAGCCAGTCAGCTTTCACACAGGTAGAAAAAGGCAAATCTAAGTCTGCCGCCCAGGTGTGCAGGCTCTGATCCAGCCACCACCTGCCTGGAGCTGTCACACCTGCCAGAGCTTAGAGCTGGCTCCTCCCTAGAAAGGCCACCTGGGAAAAGCCACTTTTGTTCTTAGCATACCGGGAAGGAAACACAGAAGCGAGAGCTGGCAGGTGAGACCTTGGCCAGAAGAGTCTCCCCCATGCCAGAGAGAAAACGGTTTCTAATTTATTTTTCCCCTTCCATCTTTGTGCTGATCAGAGTAAGGCTTTCCTTTTTGGCAAGGGGGGTTGGGAAGCTCCTTGAGCACCCCTCTGCCACAGAACAAAATAATCTCAACAGACACCTGTTCCTAAGAGTTCAGCAACCACCAACTCCAGTGAACCAAGAACACTATCACGGGTCTGAGAGCTTAGGACTCTGGTGGTTTGACTTGCATCCCAGACAGAAGTGGGAATCCCGGAGAGGCTTTTTTTTTTCCAGATGAGGCCCTTAAGCTGACGTAAAGGCAGGTTCCATTCTGTGTACTACATGTTACCTCCCCAGCCCCAACACACCACTGGAAGTGCCCTGCTCGCACCACCCCCCGCAAACACCGCCCCTGTCAACAACAACAAAAAAGAGATTATAGGAAGTAATGCTTTGAAACAAAAACACTGAACTGGAGAGTTAGTACAATGGGGAGGGTGCTTGCCACTTTGCCTGCAGCTGACCCGGGTTCTATGTCCAGCACATCCTAGCATCCCCTGAGTACTGCCAAGAGTGATCCCTGGGAGTGCAGAGTCAGGAGTCAGGCCTGAGCACCACTAAGTATGTCCCAAAACCTCATAAACAAAACAGAACAAAACAAACCACTGAGTAGACCTCACAGCTAGGGAAACCGTATCCCCCTAATGCTCGTTTATCTGAGTCTGTCCTGAAGAGGGTGATTCTAAGGACATGCGCCCGTAATCTCCATGTAAGCAACTCCTTGGAAAGGGAGAGTCTTCCCTCTGCTGAAGCAGACCCAGTCAGCCAGTCGCCCTCAGGAAACAATCCTTAAGGACTTTTGTGAAGGGTTCAAAAAGAAGGAGGCCCTGGGTTCAAGCTGTGGAGTGGTGAGAGAATTTACCAGGAGGGAGACCCGTTCAGCAGAGCAAAGTCAGTTTATTGACAGAGGGTTCACTGGTCCAATGACACAGCAAAGGCCTCCAGAGAGAGCTGGCTAGCATTCTTTGGGGGTCACATTGTATCTGGTCTGCTTCAGGCAGGAACTTCCACTTTCAATTGAGTAATTCAGGGCTGGAGCAATAGTACAGCGGGTAGGGCATTTGCCTTGCATGCTGCCAACCTGGGTCCGATCCCTGACATCCCATATAGTCTCCCGAGCACCACCAGGAGCCTGAGTTCAGAGCCAGGAGTCACCCCTGAGCATTGCTGGATGTGACCTGAAAAGTGAAGAAAAAAAAAAGAGTAATTCAACCTAAGAGGGAGCAGGGGACAGGTACCCAATTTGGGGGAAGAAAGTAAATTGTATACAAAATATTCTAAACCAATCACTTTAAAAAAAAAAGACAAGAAATACATATAATCATTTGGATCAGCTCAGAACTTATAAAATAGGGGCCGGAGTGATAGTACAGCAGATAGAGAGTTTGCCTTACATATGGCCACAGGTTCGATCCCTGAACTCCCATATGGTCCTCTAAGCACTAACAGGAGTCATTCCAGAGTGCAGAGCGAGGAGTAACCCCTGAGCATCGCCAGGTGTGACCCAGAAAGCAAAATAAATAAATAACCATTTTTTAAAAATAGTAAAACAATTTTAGCCTATCCCCAACAGGGAGTAGTATAGTCAAGTTGAGGAATTTGGGTGGTCAAAGCACAGAGTGCATGTCTTGTTGTGCCAGACTGATAAGGCAAGGGTGCCAAGGCCAGTTCTAGGAAGCGTGAAGCAGAATGGAGCAAAGGGGGCCCTCGGGAGCCTTCTAGTCACAGCTGCTTATCTTACTTATAGCAGGAAGGGTCAGCCTGGCCACGCCTTTCAAATGGGGCCTTAAACTGGGCCTCTAGAAGTTAGGGGGCTTTTGCTAGACCACCTTCCTTTGGGATTTGTGCCTTGAGCTGATGACCTGGAAAACAGCTTGGTGGTCAGAGGGCTGAGGGTTGAGGGTTTCCCCCCCCGGGGTCGAGGTGGCTGTGTCGCAGGCCATGCGTCAGCAATGAGGATGTACTTCCTTTGTTGAAGGACAAGCAGCCAGCCGCCAGCGGGATGCACCAGCCTGGAGCGCACAGGGCCCAGCAGCCCCCCAAGGCCAGCCTGCCGCCGCCCCCTCCCGTGAGACGCTCCTCAGAGGCCTGCAGCAGCCCGGGCACAGCCCACAAAGCCCCGGGGAGCAGCCCGGTGATCGCCCCCAAGACCAAGGGCCTAGGCTTCCCCGCCCCGCCCGAGGAGGACCTGCCGCCGCCCCCGCCCCCCCCCGCCCGTGGGGGACGAAGACCCGCTGCCCCCACCGCCCCCTGATTTCATCGATCCACCCCCGGACTTTGTGCCGCCCCCACCGCCCGCATCGTCCGGGGGGGATGCGGGTTCCTTGCCCCCGCCGCCCCCACCGCCGCCCTCTCTCTCCCCAACGCTGCCAAAGCCGGCCCCCGTGGCAGCCAAAAGGCCTCCCGTCCCCCCAAAAAGGCAGGAGAACCCAGGACTCCCCAGCGGCGGTGGCGGGAGTGGGGAACAAGATTTCATGTCAGATCTCATGAAGGCTTTGCAGAAGAAAAGAGGCGCCGTGCCCTAAGGGAATGCCGCCACCGTCCCGGTGCCTCAGGTGACCATTCCCGGACACCAGCACCTTATTTGGGGCTACAGTGTTTGGGGAGGGTTTGGTTTTGGGGGTCATACCCAGTGATGTTCAGAGGTTATGCCTGACTCGGCACTGAGGAATTATTCCTGCTGGTGCTCGGAGAACCATATGGGATGCCTGAGATCTTTTTTTTTTTTTAATTGAATCACCGTGAGATGACAAAGCTTTTGCTGATGCGTTCTAACACCCAACCCTTCACCAGTGTATATTTCCCACCACCTATGTCTCCAGTTTCCCCCCACCTGCCCCCCCACCCCCAACAGCCTGTCCCTATGGCAGGCACCGGAGCATACACATACACACATACATACATACACACACACACACACCCCCTTCCCCCTTCTGGGTATTATGTTTTGCAGTATTGCAGTATAGGTACTGAGAAGTTATTATGTATATAGTTTTACCACTCAGTTCTTGTCTCAATTTATCATTTCCAACTATCATTGTCTTGCTATAGGTCCCTTCTCTATCCCAACTGCCCTCCCTTGTAGGCTTCTAACTGTAGCAAACTTCCTTGTATATTTTAAACTGTGTTCCTGGATTTCGACTAGAAATGAAGTCGAACATCTCACAATTGCTCCCTTACCTTCATATCCACCCAGCATAGAACCTGTTGTAATTGCCTAAATATAAGTAACTTTATTATGTATCTCTTCCCGAATGGAATTCATCCTCCCTTCTAAATGCTGTGCTCTTTTATTATATTCAGAGGCATCAAAAGTTTGCCAGGAACAAAGAGGTAGTACAGTGGGTAGGCCACCCCAGATTCAATCCCCGGCATCCCATATGTCCCCCACTCCCCAGCACCACCAGGAGTAGTAAGCTCAGAGCACAGAGCCAGGAGTAACCCCTGAGCATCGCCAGATGTGACCACAAAAGCCAAAAGTAAATAAATGAATAAATAAAAGTTTGCTAAGAAATTACTGAAGATGATACTTCTGGAAACATTGTTGTATAAATCTAGAACATTTACACCACTATTAGATATACTTGACCTTTCAAAAAGAGCTTTCAGACCCCTCCTTCCACCAGAAGACCCAGCATCCACATCACATCACACACACACACACACACACACACACACACACACACACACACACAAACCCATATCTTCCCACATAGAAACGGCCTAGCTCCACAACTAATCTCAAAAAGAACATGATGTGGATGAATTGTCTCAGGTAGGTAGATGTGAGAACTCTGGGGCCTTCTCAGAATGATTACTGGCAGATTCCCCTTTCTGTCTAAAAAACTCAGCAGCCCTCACCAACGCCTGGCAATCTCTGGCATAGAAATGGCCCAGCTCTACAACTATATCTCATCAAGCCAAATAAACAAGTGTATGCGACCACACAACATCTCCAAATTTTATAGTACTGACAGCCCACTGGGACCACAGCAAATCTGGTGGGAAAGTTGCATATAAGACCACTAAGCTCAATAGGAAAAACAGTAACACGGAGGGCTCAACCAGCACCAACCAGCTAAGTACTCAGACAAATCACTTGCTCTGTGAATCACTGAGAGGGTACTGAAAGACAGAACAAGAGAAGAAAGAAAAGACCAGATTTATGAAGCAATTCTGAAGTTGTTCCTCTTGGCATTGTCAATAATTTTCCTTATATTCTCTTCGTTCTTTTTTTCTCAATCTCTTTTCTATTACCTCTTCTTTCTTGGTGCGTTTGTTATGGTATCTTTGAGTGTACTCATTAGCTTTTGGTTTTGTCCATATTGCCTCGGAAGGTTTCATAGTGTATTTGTAAGTTCCATTACTTCTATTCATAAGACTTCATTTCCCGCCCCTCCCCCCTCAAGCTCTCTTCAGTCGACTATAAGTGGTTTTTGGGTGTTGAGCATTGTTATGATTGTTGTCCTAAAGACTTCAGGTAAATTACAGAAGTCTGGTGCCACTGGAGATCCCCCTAAGTCTTTGTTGTCTTTTGCTGGAATCTCACCTGTTCTTAAATTTTCCCACTGTCTTCGGCATAACATTTACCTTTAACAAAGGTTAGAAGAGATCGGTGCCTTCTGGAAAACAGTATGGACGATTCTCAAAAAATTAGAAATTGAGCTCCCATTTGACCCAGCAATACCACTCCTGGGAATATATCCCAGAGAGGCAAAAATGTATAGTCGAAGTGACATCTGCACTTGTTTGTTCATTGCAGCACTCTTTACAATAGCCAGAAACTGGAAGAAACCTGAATGCCCAAGAACAGATGACTGGTTAAAGAAACTTTGGTACATCTACACAATGGAGTACTATGTAGCTCTTAGAAAAGATGAAGTCATGAAATTTACATACAAGTGGTACAATATGGAAAGTATCATGCTAAGCGAAATGAGTCAGAAAGAGAGGGATAGACATAGAAAGATTGCATTCATCTGGGGGATATAAAGTAACAAAGTATGAGATTAATACCCAAGAATAGCTGAGATCAGCACCAGGAGGATTACTCCATAACTTAGAGGCCAGCCGGGTATCCTAGAGGAAAGGGCAGTTCAGATAGAGAAGGGAGCACCAAATAAAGGATGTTTGGAGGATCCTCCCAGGATGGGAGATGCATGTCCAAAGTAGACTATGGACTGAACATGTTTGCCACTCAATGCCTCTTTTGCAGACCACAACACCCAAAAGGAGAGAGAGAACACAGGGGATTGCCCTGCCACAGAGACAGGGGGGATGGGGAGATGGGGGTGGGAGGGATATTATCCATGGTGGTGGAAGATGGGCACTGGTGGAGGGATGGGTATCTGATCATTGTATGATTGAAACCAAAGCACAAAAAATTGTAAATCTACAACTTTAAAAAAAAAAAAATAGGCCATCTTTGAAGCCTTAAGCATAAGAGAAAGAACACATGGAGGGTGCGGGATCCCGGAGGAAAAAAAAAAAGAAGAAAAAACAGGTTCCAAAAAGAGCCGAGTTCACCCGCAAGTTCCAGATGGAGTAGGTGCCGCATCCCGCCTCCCCCAGATGGAACCCCGGTGACCAGAAGCCTCTACAAACACAGCTCGAGTATGCGGGAACGAGGACTTTTTCTCAAATCTGCCGGACTACACCTCCCAGGTAACCTCTGATTCCGGAAGTCACGCCCACAGCCCGCCCCCCAGCGCCATCTTTGAAGCCTTAAGCATAAGAGAAAGAACACATGGAGGGTGCGGGATCCCGGAGGAAAAAAAAAAAAGAAAAAACAGGTTCCAAAAAGAGCCGAGTTCACCCGCAAGTTCCAGATGGAGTAGGTGCCGCATCCCGCCTCCCCCAGATGGAACCCCGGTGACCAGAAGCCTCTACAAACACAGCTCGAGTATGTGGGAACGAGGACTTTTTCTCAAATCTGCCGGACTACACCTCCCAGGTAACCTCTGATTCCGGAAGTCACGCCCACAGCCCGCCCCCCAGCGCCATCTTTGAAGCCTTAAGCATAAGAGAAAGAACACATGGAGGGTGCGGGATCCCGGAGGAAAAAAAAAAAGAAAAAACAGGTTCCAAAAAGAGCCGAGTTCACCCGCAAGTTCCAGATGGAGTAGGTGCCGCATCCCGCCTCCCCCAGATGGAACCCCGGTGACCAGAAGCCTCTACAAACACAGCTCGAGTATGCGGGAACGAGGACTTTTTCTCAAATCTGCCGGACTACACCTCCCAGGTAACCTCTGATTCCGGAAGTCACGCCCACAGCCCGCCCCCCAGCGCCATCTTTGAAGCCTTAAGCATAAGAGAAAGAACACATGGAGGGTGCGGGATCCCGGAGGAAAAAAAAAAAGAAAAAACAGGTTCCAAAAAGAGCCGAGTTCACCCGCAAGTTCCAGATGGAGTAGGTGCCGCATCCCGCCTCCCCCAGATGGAACCCCGGTGACCAGAAGCCTCTACAAACACAGCTCGAGTATGTGGGAACGAGGACTTTTTCTCAAATCTGCCGGACTACACCTCCCAGGTAACCTCTGATTCCGGAAGTCACGCCCACAGCCCGCCCCCCAGCGCCATCTTTGAAGCCTTAAGCATAAGAGAAAGAACACATGGAGGGTGCGGGATCCCGGAGGAAAAAAAAAAAGAAAAAACAGGTTCCAAAAAGAGCCGAGTTCACCCGCAAGTTCCAGATGGAGTAGGTGCCGCATCCCGCCTCCCCCAGATGGAACCCCGGTGACCAGAAGCCTCTACAAACACAGCTCGAGTATGCGGGAACGAGGACTTTTTCTCAAATCTGCCGGACTACACCTCCCAGGTAACCTCTGATTCCGGAAGTCACGCCCACAGCCCGCCCCCCAGCGCCATCTTTGAAGCCTTAAGCATAAGAGAAAGAACACATGGAGGGTGCGGGATCCCGGAGGAAAAAAAAAAAGAAAAAACAGGTTCCAAAAAGAGCCGAGTTCACCCGCAAGTTCCAGATGGAGTAGGTGCCGCATCCCGCCTCCCCCAGATGGAACCCCGGTGACCAGAAGCCTCTACAAACACAGCTCGAGTATGCGGGAACGAGGACTTTTTCTCAAATCTGCCGGACTACACCTCCCAGGTAACCTCTGATTCCGGAAGTCACGCCCACAGCCCGCCCCCCAGCGCCATCTTTGAAGCCTTAAGCATAAGAGAAAGAACACATGGAGGGTGCGGGATCCCGGAGGAAAAAAAAAAAGAAAAAACAGGTTCCAAAAAGAGCCGAGTTCACCCGCAAGTTCCAGATGGAGTAGGTGCCGCATCCCGCCTCCCCCAGATGGAACCCCGGTGACCAGAAGCCTCTACAAACACAGCTCGAGTATGCGGGAACAAGGACCTTTTCTCAAAACCGCGTGGCCGCTTACTCGGCCGCGCGACATCTCTCTATATACAAAGTGATCAATGAGAAGTAAACCACCCAATCTTTCTCCCTGAAAGTCAGAGTTAAGTTTGGAGCACGGCCACAGCCCCAGAAACACAAGGACTTAATGCAGAACCCAGC